GAACTTGACTAAATTTCCTTTGAACTTCGAGTGTAAACAGTACATAAATCAATACTGGAGATGGAAAAGTTCAATTTCACAGGAATTATAACTGTTTGAATTGCTTCAAACACAGAAAAAGAAAAGTTTTAAATTTTACTTAAACAAAACTCTCAAATATATCAAAGCATATTCTTTGGACCCCATAGCCCCTTTCTAAACAGATTTGAAGGCTTCAAGAAAATCCAACTCAGTTTTTTCAGGATTGTCCCATCCTTACCCTAGGTTTGACATGTATGTCTGAATTTAAAGCYAGGCAGTGATAATCTTGGCCCATGCAGCTTTAACTGCAGCATATCTGCCTCTGWCACCTCAGTGGCTGGGCACATTCATTTAGTGCTGTAGAAGTGGTGTGCAGTTTAAACAACATCTCGTGTCACATTGTGACATCTGCCATCAGGGTGAAGGCAAGCAGGATGGAGGGCAGCTGAACCAGGATGGAGCATCTCTACCATGTCCTTTTAATCTGGGCATCCACTCCACTGTCAAACAAGCTGATATGGAGGAGTTAATGTGACAGAACTACTCTGACTTTACAGCAAAACCCTGTCCTAGGGCTTCAGAATTTCTATAATGACAGAGCCTGGCAGAAGCCTTAGAACTGAAAAGACTGAAAGCTTTAGAAAACAATGTGTGTTACATCTGGTTCTACAAAAGGAAACCCTTGAGTCACATTGTACACTTAGGTTAGGCACAGCTTGACTTCAATTAGCCACTTTCTGATACTTCCTTCAAGTATTCAGCAGGCTGCTTTTTGGGGGAAAGAGGTTGGGAGGAGCTGAATTTGGCTTGAGCAACAATATAAACTCCAGAGCTGTTGCAAACTATGGAAAGTTGGTATGGTAAGGATGAGAGGGCAGGATTGGGGGAAGAGYGAGTGTGAGGCTGTCCACAGCTGGCAGCAGCAGCCTTTGGCACAACCAAGGACAAAATACGGACATTGAGATCAGCAGCTCTTCAGTTGACTTCTGTTTGGAATAGGTAATGTTTGAGCAAAGTCTTCAGTCTTTCTGATAGGCCTTGTGGACTTTAACCAAGAGCTGCTGACGTGAAAGTGATGGTTGCTACAAGCTGATGGTAAAAAATGCTTCTATTTAAAAGTGTTTCCTGGTATATCCTGCATTGCCTGATAAAGTCACTTGTGATCTGAACTTATCTTCTTCTAGGCAGGAAGAGTAAAATATAACTATACATTATGATSCTATCCTATGAACTACACATTTATGATGCTTGTCCTAAAATGCATGTTGTTCAGGGATGTGGTGTATTGAAGCCMAGCTTGTGCATGGTACCACATGACAAAATTTGTAGCTGGGAATTTTAAGATGTTCTCTCTGTGCAGTCTTAGTTGCTCTCTTGGGTTTTAGGTTTRTATCCGGGTGGTGTTAGTTGGAAAAAATCTCCATGTTGGACGTCTTTTGTGTGAATGTTTTCTCTTCTTGGTTCTTCCTGTGAGGGTCTGTGCCTCCAGTGTTTCTTGTTTAGGGTGTCTCTGTGTTTCCTTAGTGTGTCTCTTGTCTGCCTCTCCTTAGTTGACTTTCCAAAACTATTTTACTTCTATCCTCAAATAAACTTCATACTGTCTTTTTGTCAAATATTGACTTTTATGAACTTAAAGTATATCCTTAAGGATCTGCTTTTCCATCGTGGTCACTCTACAAACTRTTGAGTTTGCAAGTCAAACTATGCCAGTTCCTCTTTCACCCTAGAATATATTCTAAATGCAAAACACAGAATAGTGAACAGTAGCTACAATGAGTCATGCTTGTGGTAATACTGAAAAGTTAAATAACAAACTCATTTAGGAAAGGCAGGATTGCTACAGGATGGCAAAAGCCTTGGGGGAAATACAAGTTWTCATCTTAAATCTGCCAGAAAGAAAGATACAGGAACTGTGCATGGGATGCTTGGTTCTCACAGTCTCTCTCCAATCTTAGAGTGGATCTAACAGCTTTCAAGCCACAAGTAAGGAAATGTACACCAAGAGGCAAAACACCTTAATTATGGCAAAAAAAATGACTGTCAAGCATGGTTTTATCTCTGTTCCACAGTGTTTCCTCTTGCTAGGGCAAACAGATCGGTGAGTTGGATTGTTTCCTTTTCCTGGAATGATGAAATTTGGATGGTAGCAAATAGCTCATGTGGTGTCTCAACCTGTTTTCTTGTRAAGGGAAGGAGAACATGACTAAGCCCAAAGGCTGGGTCTTGTAAATGGGCTATATAAAGTTCTGACAATCAAAGAGACTCGTGCATTAGCACCTTCAGTGCAAGTCTCCACACTTTTTTGGAGAGAGATGGACAAGTGGGTATAGGCCTCCTTAAATTTCATCAGTATTGCTCATCTATAGGCACACTTAGAAGTTTTACCTAAGAGATATTTTTCTGAGGAGGATTCTGAACAACCTCTGTCTACTAATGGMTCTTCTAATTCCACTGAACTAGAACAAGGAAATGACAGACCAGGGTGTTCCAGCCCATAGTCAGTTAATTTTATGGCTTGTTTTCATTCCAAGGGAAAGCCTGAAGTCTCYTTCCAGCATCCTTGACTTCAGGAAAGCAGTGCTAGGGACCAGAAAATTGCCTCTTGTTCCCTGCTAGCTGCTCCATATTTAAAGCTGTTTTCATGATGATTCCGTGTTTTGTGGTGGATTTTTTTTGGTGGGTTTGTGGGTTTGGTTTGAGTGTTGTTGGTGTTTTTGTTTTTTTCTGGAGACTTATTTTTCCCTGGTGGGAAATAACTGTCATGTGAGTTATTTTCACTGCTAGCTCTCAGTGACTGTGTCCTTTGTATCTTTTATCTGTGGTGTTGACTGTTGTCTCCTTTTACCAGATGACATGGGCAATTGCAGACTGTTTTCCAAACTTGTTATCCAAGTGCAATCTAAAAAAGCTGTATTTGGTGATGAGGATCCCTGTGTTTACCAAGGCAAACTTTGCTTCAGGTGGTTAAATAAATTGCCTTATGCTCCCTTCACTTTCAGTTCTCTGCTTTTATCATGATGGCAGTGAACAACCTGACTGGCTGGTATCTTCAGACCCGCTCTTTAAAAAGAAACTACCAAATGTTGGGATTTCTGTAGCACTCCAGCTTGTCTGCATCCCTRTGCTTCATCTGAAACAAGAGTAAGCTTTGCAATAGTGTTCTATTGTAAASTTGCTGAGTTTATAACTCTGAGGTGTATTGTTTAACTTCATGTTTCCAAAATAAAAAGGGTTTAAACTGATACTAWAAAAAGCGCTGACTGACTTTTATTCACCAAACTGCCCATACAGCTTTTCTGCTATGCATTACAATCTGCAATCCTCAGATACACCAGTGCATGGTTTCCATTTTGAGCAGCCGGACCCTTTCCTGTAGCCCCACAAAATTGCCCCAGGTTTTCTTATGTGTATATTCAGTTGTGTTCTCATCATGCTATCTAGTTGCAAGACTTTAGACGGCTAAAACAGTCTCCATGCATTTGTGTTGAACGTAACTTCTGAGTTGAAAGTGATAGCTTGTGTTCTCTTGCTTCAGGGGTTGTTTCTGTGCAGCAAGTGCTTAGTTTGTGGGATGTCATTCTTTACAGGRCTAGTCCTACATTTCTTGCTCGACGGCTATTTTTGGTTTTTTATGGGATGAACAAGTAGTTGCTACTTCAGGCTGCTCTTGTTTATTACATAGCAGAGACAACTCYGGCTACAAGAACAGAATTTTAAAGTGCAGGGCAAGAAGGCTGGACTTGGGTGGCTTTTTGCGCTTTGGATTCTTCACTAAACCCTAGCCGGTAGCAGAGATAGTRGCACTGAAGTGWGTGTGAGCTGTGCGGTGTCGAGAGGTGTGCCTGTGGCAGGGGTGCCTAACGGGAGAGCCAGTCAGTGGATCGGTCTGTCAGTCAGTCTGTCGGTCCGTGTCTCGGTCTGTCAGTCAGTCTGTCTGTCGGTCCGTGTGCTGGTCAGTCTGTGGGTCCGTCGGTCGGTCCGTGTGTCCTGCGGGCCGCTTCCCCGCCGCTCGGTGTCGGGCTGTCAGTCAGTCTGTCAGTCGGTCCGTGTCTCGGTCTGTCTGTCGGTCACTCTGTCGGTCTGTCACTCGGTCCGTCAGTCGGTCCGTGTGTCCTGCGGGCCGTTTCCCCGCCGCTCAGTGTCGGTCTGTCAGTCGGTCCGTCGGTCGGTCCGTGTGTCCTGCGGGCCGTTTCCCCGCCGTTCGGTGTCGGGCTGTCAGTCAGTCTGTCTGTCAGTCGGTCCGTGTGTCCTGCGGGCCGTTTCCCCGCCGTTCGGTGTCGGGCTGTCAGTCAGTCTGTCAGTCAGTCGGTCCGTGTGTCCTGCGGGCCGTTTCCCCGCCGTTTCAGGGTGCGGGGCTCGCGGCAGCTCCTCAGGGCGCGGGGCGCTCGCGGCCCGTGAGCCCCCTCAGGCAACGGCCGCTCCCCTCCGGCCGGCGGGTTCGGCCACAGCAGCAGGGCCGGACGGGCACTCCAGGCGGGGAAGGTGCGCGACGAGGCCACCGCGGTGTCCCCGGGGCTGGGGAGAAGGACCGGAGTGGGCAAGGGGCCGGCGAGGTCCGGGGCTGCGAGCCCCCTCAAACACATGAGCTCGCCTGACGCTGTTCCGGGAGCAGCCGCAGGCCTCCACCTGGCACTGGGTCTTTAGCACACCGCCGGCCCAAAAGGCAGTTTGTAAACCCAGCTTTCCGACCTTATAAGAATTTAAAAACGTTGTCATTTGCCGGCTAACGGTAGTGGGGGTTTCTAAGAAAGAGGTTTCTGTGTCAGTCTCCTGTTTCACTGGCCTTCACAAGTTTGGGCCRCTGACCACCTCTGCCTTACTGCCAGTCGGTTCTTTTTTTATTCTGGGMAATGGGAGGGATGTGTGTATGTGGGTGGGGATGGGGAGTGACTGAGTAGTCAGCTCATTTCCATGACCAAACCTAAAACYAAATGTGTTAATAACAGCTCACTTAAATTTTTCTCCTCTCCCCGCTTCAGAATTGGCAGGTGTTCACCTTCATGAAGGAAAGAAACACATGAGAAGTTCTTATTCAAGCTGTAGTGTTTGCTTCAAGATGCCCCAAAGGGAAAACATTAATCTGCAAGTCTCATCTTTCAAAACTGCRTGCATTCTTTCAATCAGAGAAAAACGTTTTTTGAGAAAGATGGCTTGTGAAGTCTATGAACAAAGGCATCTTCACAAGGATACTGAATGAAAGACATCATGCCTTACAAGAGACACTTATCTTGAAGGGTGACACTGTGCTCTCAAATTAAAACACAGGCACTGTGAAAACACTGATCCTGAACAAGAATAAGGATTATAAAAACTACATCAGAATGTTTGTTAGTCCCAGAAGAGTCAGAAAATGCCATTTTTTGCAGTTATGTGCCACTTGCTTCATACTTTGTCTCATGATTTTTTGGGTACCGTTTGATAATCACATTGTGAGCCATATGAAGTCTTATTCCTACAGATACCTCATAAATAGTTATCATTTTGTGAATGACAGCCTGTCTATCAGCAGGGATAGCGTGAACAGAGTACCAAGTTACCAGTACTTGATCAACCACAGAGAGAAATGTCAGCAGCAGGATGTCCTTCTCCTATTGTTTGTGAAGACTTCTCCTGAAAACCGGCATCGAAGGGATGCAATTAGACAAACTTGGGGTAATGAGAAGTATGTTCGTTCYCAACTGAATGCCAACATTAAAACTCTTTTTGCTTTAGGACGACCAACAGACCATCTGCAGAAAACACAGTGGCAAAAAGACCTTGAGCTCGAAGACCAGAAATACCATGATTTGATTCAGCAAGACTTCTTGGATACTTTTCACAATCTTACTCTTAAATTGCTTTTGCAGTTTAGCTGGGTGAATGCCTACTGTCCTCATGCCAGGTTCATTATGTCTGCAGATGATGACATATTTATCCATATGCCAAATCTCGTTGCTTATCTCCAAAGTCTCACACAAATGGGTGCTCAAGATATCTGGATTGGTCGAGTCCATCGYGGATCCCCTCCCATAAGAGACAAGAGTAGCAAATACTATGTTCCATATGAAATGTACCAGTGGCCCTCTTACCCTGACTACACAGCAGGAGCTGCATATGTAGTATCAAATGATGTAGCAGCTAAAATCTATGAGGCTTCATTAACTCTGAATACAAGTCTTCATATAGATGATGTTTTCATGGGTCTCTGTGCCAATAAAATGGGAATTGTACCACAATATCATGTATTTTTTTCTGGGGAAGGAAAGGCTCCATATCATCCCTGCATTTATAACAAGATGATGACATCTCACGGACACGTATATGATCTTCGCCAGCTCTGGAAGCAGGCTACAGATCCCAAAGTTAAACAGATTTCTTCAGGGATTTGGGGTAGAATGTACTGCAGACTAGTCAATATTATGCTTCTCTGTAAACTGTACTACCAGGACACATATCCTTGTTCAGCTGCATTTTCTTAATACTTGAATGTCTGCATTGAAGATCCACTGAGCCAAGACAGAGCAACGTTTTAGGTGTTTATCCAAAATMTATGTAAACGTGGAAAGAGGTAAAATTTATATGTCAATACTTGGGGTGGGCAGAGGGAGAGGAAGAAGATGGTCCCAGATTCTGTCCAGAGACTTACTGGAATGAATAGCTCTCCTGTTGTACTTCAATTTATTACATTGTAGCCTGTTTTTTTACACTCTTCAAGGGATGCAAGTCTGGATTACAAGTGAACTATAATGAACTTGTAGACTTTGAAATGCTTGTTGAAAGTGTCTGTTTCTTTGAACTTGTCTGTATGTCTTGACAGTTTTTAAAAAAGCTATGTGAACTAAGGCATGTGGCAAAAAAAAAAATCTGTTCTATCAAAATGGAGTAGACCTTTCAAAGCAAGAGAAAGTGGAACTTCTGACTTGATGAATGAGACTATCACAGTTGTTGAAGGTAGTGTAAACTATCTACAAATATTCACCATTTCTCAGTGCTTCATACAAAGTCACTCAGGACCTGCACAGTTGACAAACAGTGCATGCTAGAAGTGAAAACCTGCTACAATTGTTTTCTCAAATCTCTCTAAATCTTTGAAATAGGGAAAGTGTTTGGATGCCCTCTGGCATGGTGGTTTTAAGTAACAAAGGAACCCCCTTTAAAACTTGAACTATAAAAGTCAAATACRATTCATGTAACTGGCTGGACTAATMTTTCTCTGTCTTCCAAAAACTGAATCAGTATATTTAAACAGTCCAATCTTTAATAAATAAATAAAGTTAAATTAGTTTTTTTTTTAATAATGCTTCTGTTTTCCAATATTCATGATTGTAGAGGTGAAAAGAAAGCATAAGTCCCTGAGAAAAGTCAAGAGCTAGTTTGAAGAGTTCAAAAAAACAAAAACCTTATGCTTGTACTAACAGAGTGGGAGGATATTTTCTGCACAAACTTTGACTTTGCATTGAAGGGATAGTGAGATCGTGATTCACAGAAACTCAGTACACAAATCAAAATAACTAAAATATTTCTCCTGGTGTCAAAATTGTCTTTAAAATTTCAGGGTTGTTTGTGTCCACAAACCCCTGTACCTTGACTAAATCTTAATATTAATATCACTTGCAAAGGAACAAAATAGCTGTGCTTTGTAAACCAGAACAGAGCTAAGTCATGTGCAAACTGCAGCCTGTATGAGTTGTCCTGTGGTGCCATAAAGATACTGCAGAGAAACCAGAGTTGCAGGATGTCTGCAGTCCTTGCATAGCTCAGTCATGGTGCTTCTACAGACTCTCAGGACAGATATCTTGGTTGTTAATTGCCAAACCTGTGGTAGCTGTACAGGAGTTGCTAGTTTGAAGCTGTGAGTAGTAAACTTGGTTTAACTAACTGCTGCTGCTCTTGGAGCTGTGCTGCTGGTTTTCTGGTTTAAATGGAAAATGGAATCTGTCAGTATTGACAGAATCCAGGAGTGAGCTTGCTGACTGTTATCTAAGCTGTTCAAATGGAGGGTAGGTAGCTACTGGAATTAAGTAAAATATGTAACTTTCTATAATTGGTTTTGCAGAAGGAAGATAAGATTCCTAACTGGACCCGAAWGTTGGGCATATAAAGAGCCCAACTCCCACAAACAAGTCATTTGTCAGTGGCAGAATGACTGAAGAGTATAGCAGCTATGCTTTAGAAGGAACAAATCCRGTTCCTTTTCTTGCCTAAACAATGGATAATAGTACTGGGGATGTAGATCTGCATAACCTGTTGCATACAGAGGAACCAAATGCACATATAGAAAAAGTATTATTTTGTATTGAAGGAAAGCTGCTTCATCAGATTTTTRATTTGTTGTGAGCCATTTAAATCAACAAAGCTGCACAGCAAAACTGCACTGCTAGAAAAAGCCACCTGTTCACTGAAGGGAAAGAGGGTCTTCATATGCAGTATACAACGCAGATGTACAAGTAAGACTACAGTCTTCCAGAATAACTGTGTGTTGGGATTTGTTTTCACTCATACAAGCAAAAGTAAAGTAAGCTTTAAGTAGCTTTAACCAACTGACATTAAAATGCTGCTTAAATACAATTTGCCATTACCCGAAAGTCACTTTTGGCCATTGAAAGATTTTGTTTTACAGTTGGTTTTGAGTTTTGCTTGGATTGTTTCTTAATCTTTAAAGGGCCTTGATGTTTGTAGTATGCATTTTCTTTTGCTGCAGTGAAAAGAAGTTGCTTGTTGAATAAAAAGGAAAGCATGAARGCACTCCTTCCAAAAAATGGAGACACAAAACTTTGTATTTTCTGGTTCTAAACACAACTTAAGATTTGTACACTTCCATCAGGAATCTTTTTTAACAATAGTCTCGGTGCTCCAATGCAGGGCTGTTAGGTTTTACTCCTACAAATAAAACTTTATCAGCCTGAATGGTCACTCCTTATTAAGAGTTTGACATTGTTGCACAGCATATTAAATGCTAATTTTTTTTACCTTTGTTTGTTTGGTTTGCATCAATTTCCCTTTGATATTACTAATTTTTATACAAAATATTCAATATTTATTCTTAAACTTTGCTCTGTACCACAAAAGACAGTTGTTTTGTAAAATTTGTTTTGAATAAACAAACTTATTTCTTTTAAAAAAACTTAAACAATACAGCAAAGGCTAATATCTCTTGTTGCTTTCTTTGTAACTGACAGGATCAGTTCTGATACTTTTACATGTTGTTTTGAGCTCTCTCTTACAAGAGGACTTCCAACTGCCTCCCACTCCCCCCCTGTCCCTGGTGTGCACAAAAGGCAAAACTGGTGTTCCCAAGAAAAGAGAGAGCTCACGAATTTGTTCACTAAGCTTCTAGGTCTAAAGTTGTATAAAATTGCCAGATATTAGAAGCCTAACCTGTTGTTAATGTTATAATTTGCATGTTCTCTTCAGGCAGCTGTTCCTCTGGAGATGTGTATGTGTCTACAAAGTTTTCATACTTTGCACCTTTGGAAAAGTAGCTGATGGTTTGGGGACCAGACATAGTATTTTTATAGGGTATAATTAGATTCAAATAATTATGATTTGTATGTCTCTCCAATTTGTCTGACACAATGTTTCAATYTAGGGTTTTTACAAATGAAGTCTTTTGCATCAGGTAACTTCAGTGTGTGAGACAGGGGCATAATGTAAGTATAAATTGTCTAAATGATAGTGAAGAAGACAACAAAGGAAATGAAGTCAGRATTGTGGMATTTGRCWTATTGCAGGGTGGGTTTTGTTGTGGGTTTTTCATTTTGTGGGKKTTTTTWATTTAATTGTTCCCTTTGACCTAGAAGCTGCAGTTCAGCTAAAACTGTTTTTTGTTGRACTAAGTGATTTAAGTATCTGGGGCTTTAGAATGCATCATTATTAATCTTTTTCTCAGGATTTTGCAGAAATTCTAGCTTGCAGTTAAAAAACTGAGAAGCCTCTCAGAGGTATATAGTCAAACATGAATATTCTGAATATTGTGAGAGGATCTTTAACTGTGGTTTTTTTTGTAAATACATGCAAGGTTTATTCTAATTACTTCTTCTCTCACATCTTGTAATTAATGCTTCTAAAAAAAAAAAAAAAAAGGTTTATTCTAATTACTTCTTCTCTCACATCTTGTAATTAATGCTTCTAAAAAAAAAAAACCAACTAAAAAAGCCCCAACCAAACAAAAAATTAGTCTTGCTGGCTTTTCCATTTGATAGACTGGGTAGAAATGCATGGTWGTAAGCATTTCAGTGACTTTATTATTGCTAATTATTTATTAATCTTGAACTTCGAAGAAGGTGTAGAGAATGTACCAYAAATGCAATGATTTGCATTCTAAGAAGGAAAGGATTATAGTGGCTCATATGTGCAGCCTTACCTCCTCCTTGTTGACAAGTTCTCATCGCTTTCACTGGTCACCAGGACTCTGCTAGATCCTCCTTGACTGGCTTCATGCATCACTTCAATCTGAATGAGAAGAACCCGTTAAAACTGAAAATACTTAATTGCTGAAGCTTTTATTTAGAGAACTTTAACTCTTTGAAAGAATAAAAACCAGATACTACCTAACCTAGTAAGTGACTAGACAGTTAAAATAATTTAATTCTAGATGTGCAGAAATACCTTCTSTCTATACTCTCAATCCTTGCTCAATATTTGCATGGAGGCATTCCTTACTCCAGGMAAAATCATTATATTCTTGCACCAGAATTATCTCCTTGTGTAGGTAATTACAGGCATCATATTCTGTTCCTTMGACTCTGAAGCACTATTTTTTCATTTCCTGTCTGAAGCCAACCCAAAGAATTCACATTTCCAGAGTTCTTTGTAGAATGCCCTATGAAGAAATCTGTCCCCAAATCACAGGTAATCCTACCTTAATTCCACCTTTAGTCTTCTTAATGCTTTTCTTTTTTGATAAATCTACTTCGGAAATGGTCTTTGGAGGGCAGGAAATTTCTGTGGACCTCCTGTTGGTAGCTGAAAGAGCGAAATAGAAAGTAACATTAGAAAACATGTGCTAGAAGTTAAAATTCTAGTTCCTAATAAAAGCAATGAGCAAAGATCCTGACACATCAATGATAAATGGGACTTGTCTTAGAGAACTGAGTTGATGGCACAAGGGATGGGTTCCCTTGTTCAGTGCTGCACTGTGTCTCAAATTGGTATCTTCAGYTCCCCACTGTAAGGATTACTTTGATTTGGCTTCCCCTGGGAAAACCCTCTTTAGGACAGCACAGGTAAATGTCAGCCAGCTGTGCCAGCACTTGGGTAATTGTCACTTGCATGGTGTTGCTTGTSTGGGTTGCCAAAGAAAGGAAATTTTGTTTCTGGTAATGGTTTCCTGATGTGGGATTAAAGGATTTTTCCCTGTAAGGTTCCATTACATAAACAACTCTCAAAAGAGTAATCACAGGAGTTGAGCAAGTCCCAGTGACGGGTATGTCATCGTGACTCACAAGGACAGAGAATCTGTGGATATTATTTCAGAATACGCCCTGTTGTGCCAGGTTTGGTCACCCTTCAGGCTCTGAATACCCCAGCTGACACTGAGGTGTCTGAGGCTACTGGACATAACCACCTGTGCTGAGCCTGCTGTCCAAAGGAAAGGGTTAGAAGGAACTGTGAGAAGGGAAAWACTTGAGCAGAAAATAATCTCTGTTACAGTTTTATCTTCATTTTGAGTTGATAATGAGTTCACAGCAATGCATGTCCAAGGCCAACAGCACTCTCCTTTTTCTTAGTTGCTGAAYTGACATTGTTCCATACTTTTACCCACACCTGAATACCCTAGATATGCTGCCAGTGTCTATTTACCCAGCCCAYTGGATTTCTCGACAAAGCTAATTTACAGATTTTATGGATGTGTCATGGAAATAAAGGGAAACAAAGGAAATAACTTCAGAAAACATGGGAACTTTTGCTAATATGAGCATAGTCAGCAATGCAAGTTGTTTGACATTAATCAGAAAACTTTGTAGCTTGAAGGAATAGTTGATACTGATACGAAAACCCTGGGTGAAAGCAAGCAGCAGAAAAAGTGGAAATCAGCTACAACTTTGATGTCTGGATCACAACCTGCAAGCTCAGAGAGCTCCAGGTGACCCACAAAAGAAAGCATAGGACAGTTTAAATAACAGATGACATTCACAGGAAGCCAAACTGCAGGTGCTCCTTGATCCAGCAGCAAATTACTCAGGTCAGTTCACAATCTGAGTCTTGCCTTCTTCAATGGGACATGTTTCAGAAAAGGAGACAGGTATAAGATAAGAACGYGGTCAAATTCAACTGTGGATATTTCAGAGATGAATTCGATTCGTATTGACACAGTGAACTTCCCTTTCCAATTTGACCCAGAAATGAACTGAAAACAGGAAACAAGCTGCTTTGGTCATGCTCTGGAGAATTTTTCAGTTATTGACTGGCCCATGGTCAGAGACTGCTGCATGTCACTGCATTTAAGTAATTTCTGGAGCAGTATAGAAASAAACAGCGCAAATACCTACCAATTATTGTTGCACTAATTACTGTGGAACTGGAAATATAAGGGAAACTTCCTTATAAAATTCTGTACAATTTACTGTTTCAAGGTCGGTACAGTATTGTTTTGCTGAAGAAGCTGAAAATCATAATTTTGAGCTGTCCACTGAAAGAATAAAGGCACAGGAACAAAGGAAAACTAACTAGAAATTACCTCAGGTCGGCATGATTTCAAGGTAATTTTCATTCTGTTGTTTCACAGTACTCCCCTGGATGATACATAACTATGATTTCATTTTGAATTCATTAATATTTTAAATTGCTTGATGCTGCTCTTAAAGCAAATRTTGTTAAAGGGCATTTAAAGCATCTGTGCATCATAAAGCATTATGATACATACCCAGCACCTGTGCAATATTCCAAGCCCCTGTCACATAAATACCACACTTTACATTCAGGTTGGGGGGAATTTCCCCATCACATGTTTCCCCATATGTTTTTCTGTATGAGTTTGTGCATCCTCACTAACCACCTGCAGCAGAATGAAATTCCTTTGGCAAGAACAAGCATGGAAACAACTAGTCTGYTAAACTTTACTGGGGCTTGCTGCTCATGGAGCCCAACAGGAAGATGAATTTGAAGATAAGTAGTGCTTTAACTACTGTTTTGAATGGTGAGGACAAAACAGAATGCTTAGTCAGCTCAAGAAACACCAAAGAAGCTATGGTTATCACTTAATGGCTTAGGGCAGAAAGACTGCCATTCTTAGGCAATGTAATTTAGACTCCTTTGCTCTAGCAAAAATTCTGTCAAGCCCCTGAAAAACTGCCGATACAAAAAGTACAGAGCGAAGCTCCTGGATGTGGAATATTCTTCTACAAGGAGACACTACTTGGTTTCTTCAGACTGGCCCAAGGGTAATAGCAGCCCCACAGCCAAAAAACTGAAAGTATCTTTTCTTTTTATTTATAGAAATACACTGAACCGCAGAAGCTAGTGGTTTCTCAAACCAATAATGAAAATCACATGTACCACCTCTTCTGAGTCAGCTAATCTCTCTGCAACCTCACTTCCCCTGCACACATCCCCAGACTCTTGCAAGACATTCTTCCTTTATCCTCTATCCAGATGTTATTAGTTAGTGAGTGTTATGCACTAGTGACTGTGAGGAATGCTGGATTGGATCCAACGAGCAGTTGTATACATTTAACTGAGATGGAACCAGCTTAAATTCTATTATTTAAAGAACTGAAAAGTCTCCCTTATGAATCTTATGTTCCAAGCTGGCCTTCTAAGATGCTTGTATGGTGAGTCATGGATTTTGTATGTTAAACATGTTATTTTTTTAGCTAGCTCACTGAAATTTTGACATCTCTGCTCCTGTATTTCACATTTATGTTGCACACAGAGAAATCTCTRGGTGAATATTTTATAGGACTTTGCCATGTTCCAACTCTTGCCAGAAAGATAACTACAGCAAGACATTTTTCCTAACCATGGTCACTGAGATGGCCAAATGATCTTTTACTGAAATTCTGGTACRGATGTGCCAGAAGATTGCCTTTGGGAAAGTTTCATTTCAGACAGTTAAGAGTTTGGGAGAATTACAAGCAAATTAAAACAGATATTGCCAAGTGCAGTGATCCCTAATAGTTTGTATTATTCTTTACAGTTCTGTAGTTCATCTCATTGTGCCTGACAGTCTGTATGGTTTGACTTTGTGGACCTATTCCAATACATTCCAGTTTTGCACAGAAATGCAGAGAAGAAATATGTAGTCAAATCATCAAAAATTATGCCCTCAGAAGTGAATCAGAGCAAAAATATTTCAAGTGCCACTTCTTTCCTCCTAAAACATAYAGGGACAAATTTAGCCATTAACAGTATTCAAGCAATTTCTATCRGGAGTAAACAGAATTCTCCTTAAAATACGTGTCATCTACACTACTTAAATATTTTCAAGGCTCTTATTATAAAAAGTTCAGCAGAGATTTCTGCCTTTTCAGGCTTGATCTGTGAATAATATTTAAKCAAGTTCTCACAGCTAAAATGTGCACCAAATACAGCTGGCAAAGACTTTTGAGCATCACAATTATTCCAGAACTAGTTCTTCAGYCTTGAACAGGCATGTGCCTGCAAAATATGTACATTCACTTGTGAAACTAGAAGCTTCAAGCAAAATTTGGATTAATCTAAAATTTTGCATCAGTTTCCAGACCCACAGAAAAGTTTTGACTGAAGGAGACTTTACAAGGCACCTCTGAGCTCCCTTTCTGGATTTTCACTAAGCTAGAAGATTGCTGAGAATCACCAGAAACCACAAGGACATAGACATGAAACTGTGACAGTCATTTCCCTGACAGAAACCTGCCCTTTCTCTCAGACATGGTATCAGTTCTGCCTGTGTGCAGAAAATCCATCTCTATGTATTTGTCCACGTAAAATGGAGAGTCTGACAGTTACAATAATGGAGTATTTAATGTCTGAGCTTACATATCTGTGAAGATTTTTTCATGAGCACCCTGAATTGGATTGAATTTTCCCTACCACCCCCTGTTAGGAAAATGGATAGTCAGCAATGAAAAACAAAACAAAATCTATTCTGGAACAAATGTAACTTCTTTTCCTTTCACAGCCCAACTATTGCAGTGCTGCCATGGTATTGTTACTCTGCTGCCTGGGGACAAAAGCATTTCTTTCTGGTCTTCTATTTCTGTTTACCACGTTTTATTGCCTTTGCTTGCCTTTGTATTTACACAGTCTAGGAACATGGTATTTCCCTGTTGCCATATTCTATTTTGCAAGTTTTTAGAAATATYCAGGTATGTCCTGTGTAGCAAATGACAAATCAGTTACAATATCTGTTTCAAGAAGGTGCTCCAAGCCTCTCCCATGTTTCCAAGATATAAATAAATAATCCCCACAAGTAAATGCTCACAGTGCATTGACACAATGAATGTGAAGAAAGGACACAGAGGAAAGTCCAAAAGAGGGTAGCTTCAAGAAGAGCAGAATTTCACAGCCTCATTTTCAGGCTTGGAATAGGACTCAGTGTCCCTATTTCTATTCTCAGACACATTTCAGAGTCAGACTGTGAAACATCTTGGTGAATTCTTTGGTTTATCTGTGCCTCAGTTTTCTTTCTGAAAAAAAGAGGTTAAAGTACTGACCAGCGATTGCCAAGTGCTTTGGCATTCTGAGGGAAAGGGCATTCAGGAATTTCAGAATCTGATTCTTTRTAGTGGACAATTAATAACACCAAAAAGAATATGTGAATATAAATGTACTATTCATGGCTGTTAAAGTAATTGACTGTGAGTCCCTGCATACACAGCAGATACTCAGGCACTTCTGTTTCTTTTTACAGAGGTACTCTCGGTCAGTCACCTTGAGGAATCTGAATGAGATGGCCAGGTATACTTATCAGAGTCTGAACAGGAGTGGTTTGTACTTTGCACCTCCTCCCAGAACCAGAGCAATATTTTAAAATAAATTTCACCTACCTATTATTTTGCAACAGGACATTAAAGGCTAATCCCTGTCACATAGTTATCCGGAATGGGTTGTATAACTAAGAACTGCAATTCAAAGGACAGAGCAAGGGAGCATCTCACGATTTTCAGTGCAAGAGTTGATAGTATRGGATGGGCTGTATGAACAAGAATCAAAACTTACAGCACTGTCATAAACTAATGGCTGTTCTATAAGGCTCTATCTCTACCACCAATTTAATTTAAAATCTGCAAATGGTCTAAAATGACAGGAAAGAAGTTCCAGAAACAAGAGACTGCAGACATAAATGGAGTTGCAAGATTAGCTTTTAGCTTGAAGATGCAGTTTCACAATAGGTGAAAGCCATCCTAAAACTGTGCTGCCACTGACAGGAACTGGCTCTGACCTACTGACCCCATGACCCCTCTTTCTGCAACTTCCTTTGCTYCAGCACTAGTGGTCATGCAGTGAGCAGTCTGATGAACTCTCACACTAGTGCAGCTTGGAGCAGGTGACTGGGCTGTGTGATCTCCAGAGCTCCCTGCATTTCTGTAACTCATGCAATGGAAAAAGAACTACTGCAATTTTGCAGCCTGTTTATTGAGTTTTTAAGGCAAATCACAACTCCAGCAAACTGACTGCCCAGCCCAGTGCAAGAGGAGAGCACAGTGCTGGGGATGTGCGTGTGGCCTCTTCACAGGCACTGCGTTCTCAGCTTGCTTTAAACCAACAGGGAAGTTGAAACTTAAGGTGGGAACTGTACACAAAAAACACAACTAGCATGGTTTGGGGCAAAAAAAAATGTACTGTCAAGCTGGCATGGGAATGGGAAGAAAATTATTTTTCCTTGGAACAAAAGGATGAATGTTGTGGAGCAGAGGAGAATAGCCGTGACTTTCTGCTGGTAGGCCTACAAAGCATCATAGTCAGGCTACTGGCCATCCTAATCTTCCTGTTGAGAAAGCTGTTCATTGCCTACTCTTCATGCAAATTAGGGTTTTTTTCCAAGGCTTTTTGCTAAAGGTTTSCCTTTTAAACAGCCCTAAGGGTCCAAAAGGACAACCCCTTCTTGCCGCCAAGCACAGGGTAGAGGGTCTCCAGGATACACAGTTTCAAATTAGCTTCACCCATGTTCCTTTCACAGAAAAAATAGCAAGCTTGGATAAAGGCACATGCTAACCTCAAATCAGGAAATTTCAGTCATTTCCAAATAAAGCAATGCTSAGCTTCTCTAGTTAGCAGAGGAGAAGCTAGGAAGTGAATTAACATCTATGTAGAGGGGAAAAAGCAAAAATCCCACAAATGAGTCACTGTCAATAGTAAACCCTTAATTTTGCAAGTATCTGATTGAAACTTGAGGAATTGTGACCCTCAAAAGCCAAATATTTACATTACAGTATCTGCAGTGTAAGAGAGGTTCTCATGCTTACATTGCATTACATTTGCATTGACAATCCTSGCTTGGGTATTTGAGAATTAGCAATGTAGGACACACTGAGACACAGTATAGAAATGCACTCTGTAGATTAGACCCAGGAGGAGATGCCTTGCAGGTTTTTTTTTTATTTTTTTTTTAATTAACCCTCATTTGTATGTTCACAGCAACAGATATTTCATGTTCATTTTTAACAGCTGGACCTACAAGGCTGATGCTGCACTTCATCAAGTGCAAGTGTTCMTTCTGATAACAAAAATTAAACATAACCATGTGGACAAAACATTGTTGTGTCTGAAAGCAGCTGCTGGTGGCCTACCTACTGCTGCTGGCCTGGTAATCTTTGGTGATGCTCGCTTTGGGGAAGATTCAGGATGTGGAGCAACAGGTTGTACTGGCCGGGTCTGTTTGGCTGCCAGCTTCTTCAGACTTACTTGCCTCTTGTCAAACATTTCTTGCACATCTTCAAGTTTTTGTACAATTCTTTGGGCATTGGCCTTGACAAAGAAAAGACAGACAACAAATGGTTGTCAGTGTTGGACTGAGCAAGTAAAGAAAGGCATTGTATTGCCTGACTCAGACTAGAGGTGGAGATCACACTGGGCTGCAGTTTATTGCAGCCCAGTCCATGCATTCTGCCCAGATCACAGTTTCACTGACCAAGACATGGTGAAGTAGTCATGCAGTACTTCTGGAACTGCTCTGAAGGAAATGACATMTGTGTTGCATGACTACTATTTTGAGTAAAACTTATTGCCACAAATTCTCACCTCAGTGCCCTTTTGGAGTAGAGAAAGAGGCACAGTTTAGCAGACTCAAATATTTAATATACATTTAATTTCTAAGTGAGATCATGCACATYTGAGGAGTTTTACCTTTATTTCAGGGGTGAGGATCATGTCAAACTGATTGTAGAACTCCTTCGGGTTGGAGAGCTGGTGTTCCTTAGCTGTTACCAAGAACTTCTCGATTTCAATGAGTGCAGTTTCAGCTCCCTCTTGTGACTGGCACTTGTCCACAGCTTGGGAAGCTAAGAGGTAGATTCCAGCTTCACACCATTGGCTTGCCTTTAAAGAAAAATGGGGGAAGAAGGAATTATCATCACTGACAGTCCATGTCATCAAGTGCTGCTTCTACATTGTGAAATGTAGATTTGCCCTAACATGATACTAAAGGGGATCAATGTTACCTCATAGTGTGCAGCAGCTCCTGCCCATAAGTCACCTTAACAGGATATGCAGAACTGAACTTACTGAACTAATATGAAACCCCAGTATTTATGGCAACATTTACTGAATGGAGAAAAACCAAACTCAACTTTTTATCTTCATTATAATTACAGCACATTTTTAGTAGCACCTTGCCAGGCTGTTGTCTGAAAAGGTTCACTCACCTTATCTAACTGCTTATGCAGCTCAAGAGACTTTCCCAAAATATCATACTTTTTCTTGGTCTCATTGGTAAAGTCATCACAAATCCGCCTGAGYTCAACACACTTTGGTCTAATGGAGTCAACTGCATAATGGTTGTTTTGGATGAGCTGTTCTCCATGGAGAGCTAGAGACTGGGCCTTCTCCAAAGGTTCCTGTGACATTAGGGAGAAAATCCAAAGCTAGATCTTAGAATGCATAGTAATGACAATCTACCTCTGTAACCCCTGCTGTAGCCTGGGGATAAAGTTTGGAATATTAATATAGCTGACATGTCTTGCTTTATATTTTCATTGAAGGCCAACTCCAATATCAATGAGTACATTGAAACTTGAGAGGTTCCATCTGAACATCAGGAAGCACTTCTTTGTTGTGAGGGTAACCAAACACTGGAACAGGTTGCCCAGCGAGGTTATGGAATCTACTACTTCTTTCTCACATACTGGGACACTCATCATACAATGTTTTTTCCCTTTTTTTTCCCCTAGCTTTCCAAGCAATGAACTGGAACTACTGGGTCTAAACAAGCCTGGCTTCTGGAAATTAGGATCTGTGTTTTGCAGTTTAAAATAATGACTCATGAGAATAGAGTAAATCTGGACAAAGAAAAAAAAAAGTGGACAGTAACAAGGAAGTGTCTAGAATACCATGTATCAAGCAGCTAGAATACTAAATTGAGTGCAAACCTGTCCTTTCTCTTCCAGGTGTTTCTGCTCTTTTAGGAGGTTCTCAACTCGAGTCATGCTGTCTCCAATGTCAGCAAAACCTGCTTGTATTTCCATGAGGTTATCCAATGTCAGTTTTACCTGTAAAAAACAACAACAAAAACATAAAACCAAAACAAAATAAACCCACCCAAAACCCCATCACAAGATACTGATAAAAATTACAACAAGCATTCACCTACTTATTTGAGAAGAGTCTGCATCTCAAGTTTAGTCTTTCAGCTTGTTCCAAAATGGAAAAGCCAAGGAATAAATCAACAACCAACTATTCTTCAAAGAGTTTCCCTGCTTCTCACTGATTGGGCCCACAAAGTTTTGACAACCTGTACTCCAGAGTTTATATTTCTGTAATCTGTATTACTCCAGTCTCTGGGCTGAGAGTGGGGCAGTTCTGAACTGTATTTCCTTGACTCTGGTGGAATTGGCAACTTCCCATCACAGAAGAAACTGTATTTGATAACTTCACATACAAGTGCAAAATGATTTACCAAGAAGCTGGTGTTCACATTTTAGCCTCGTAGTCTGGCACTTTCCTTACTGTGCTTTATTCAAATGTTGCAAGACGTCTGATAGCTGTCAAGACTTTAATTTTTGAATATTCATTTCGTATTTCATAATGAAGGGCTTCTCTCCCAACCTCCTTTTTGGATTTCCAGTATACTCTAAGTATGGGTAAAATTTGACCTTATTTACCAGAGAAGACTAGGCAGCATGAACAAAGAAATACCTCTCTAAAATCGTGTTCAAAGTGTCGAAGCTGCAGGCACTGTTCTAGTTTTAGATGATGCTTGGTCCAAAATTGATCAAAAGCCTTTTCTGTTTCATCCAACTGAGCCAACAACCTGTTAAGAAATTATAATGAACAGAATGTACTTATTTCCTGTAGTTCATTTCTTTTAAGTTAGAGTAACTGATGGCAGAAAGCAGAGCAGGGAGATGGTGGGCAGCCCTACACTTATGTAAGAGGGCTCTGTGTCAACTCTCCCTTAAGCAAAAGAGAATGAAATYTGCAGTAGGACAGGCAGGAATGTGACAAATGAGTGACAACTACATAGATCTAATGTGGCAGTTACAGTCCTGCAAGACTGTGCACAGGGATTCAGAGCTGTTCYGTGCACTGGCAGCCAAGGGCAGCTGTCTCTCCCTCGCTTCCACCCAATGCTTCAAAGGTAATTTATCCCCAACTGATGCAGATYGAATATGATGCAATTATTATTTTATGGAATTATTAAATTGGYAATTTTCTTCACCCATCAGAAATAGGCAAGGACTGAATAATTTTTCCCAGTCCATTAAAAACAATAGGTTAGAAGCTCATAATGGCTCCCACAGATATTGTTTTACTTTGTGTAAATAATGAAACACTTATTTGCAAAGAAATTAATAACAAAGTGTCATATCATGAGTAAAATATCTGGCACCAGACTAGTGAGTCATCCTCACAGTTTCTCAATGATCCATTAMTTACAAAGTAGAACAGTTTYAAACAAGTAGAAAAAAAYGAAGYGTTCTCTGAATATTTTGTATTTCARTATCCTGTATTTCAATGGGCRCTCTTTGGGCAGYGAGGGTAGTRCTGAAATCATCAAGTTATTGAAGTAAAATGCCAACAGCTCCYTCCTATTGCTCTCAAAAACAAATTTCTGTTTTCAGTCGGTGCCCGAAAAACGTGTTTTTGATCAAAGCTAGTTGTTGAATTCAAGATGAATTCGCAAATTCCTTTGGGATGACTGTTTAAAGGATTTTAAAGTATTCAGTGAAAAATATCAGCTCAGCTTTACTTTTAGCACCTTTGTTCCCAGTGAATGCAGACACGCTGAAACCCTAGCATGGCATTTCTCTTTCCATGCATCACATGGCACAGCAGAAACTTCTACACGGTGACTAAAAGCTTTATGGTAATAACTAGCACTGTAGGAAGGAAAAGGGGGGGTCTGTCTCTGCAGCTGTGACACAGCTGTGACATGTTTCAGGTATCATCTTCATCTCTTCCTCCCCCAGTATTGCCACAGACATGCACAAGCACACCACCCTCTCCTCCCACAGAGATTYGGGTGCCACTTTCTAACCAGGCACACAAGTTTGGAGGACGTGGGGTAATTAAGTCCCATGATAAATCTTCAGCCAGATAGTTAGTAGACTGATCAAAAATGACCAAGAAATTTGGGACTTTTTTTGAACTTGCCTACACAATTTAATCAAGTAACTTCCTCTAAGCTATTCCCTTCTCTGACTTATCTGTCCAATAAATCCTGAGTAGGTGAACCAGTGGTAATTTACAACAATTTAAATTATTTAAATTACACTCACATCTCTTAGGAATAAATTATCAACTTGCACAAGGTAATCTAGTTCCACTGACCTTTCCACAGTGGCCACGTTTTCCAGTTCATCTGGACTGAGTTTGCTGTTGGCACTTCGGGTGACTGGYTCCCGAATGCACGTCAGTAGGGTGGCCCCCTGCTTCACTGCTAGTTTCAGTTCATCCTGAGGGCAAAAAGAACAAGCCAAAACCCAATTTGTATGTACTTCTAACAACATTCACACCTCTTAGATGACAACATGGTAATGATAAAGGAAGATTCTTTCAYAGGTACAAAATACATGAAACAAAACATAAATGCTTACCAAAGGTGATATGATTTTCTAGAAAATGCAGAGACCTAAATCTGTTCACTTTGAATAGTAGATCTATTTCTGAGAAAAGGAATAGAGTAATTTCTGAGCAGATTGCACATCTGACCAGGCCACTTGAAGAATAAATTATTATACCACAAATTGAAAGTATGCTGTAGATTGTGAGCCAAGAGACTGGGCTGAGACATTGCACTTCTTGATGGCATTTCCTCAGTCAACATTGTGACATGCTGAGCCATAACATATCAGCTATAAGAAGTCATCCACAAAAGTGTCTTCCAGCATGAAAGATGAGTAATAAAAAAGACAAGGCTCATCAACTTGCCAGCTGATTAATCCCCACATCACTGCACACTTCTTCCATAAAACTTGTTCTCGTGCTAAATATCTTAGGTAGTATGTTTAATCTTGTGTTTAACCTAAGCCATTTGTTGAAAGCAGCAATATTTACTTCTCATCCTTATTCTGCAAAGCTAAACTAGCCCCAACATTTTTTTTAAACGAAAGAGCCATCATTTACTTAGATCATTCTGTCTATTCCTGACTATCCTCACAGATGTTCTCTTTTTCTGCTCCAATCTAAGTTCATCCTTTCTGATGAACTCTTCATCAGGAGCCCACGTTATTCCAGATGTGATCCCATCAACCCYTCTCACACAGTGGAAGTGACATTCCCCCATTCTATCAATCCTGAAGCTGTAAAAAAGTCCTTTTACACAGCTGAATGGAATMGAACTCCTGAATCCAGGTTTTTGTCCTCCTCAGTGGTTTCCAGACAATGGACTGCCAAGTGATGGCGGAAATTTTGTTAAATCAGAACTCATATATTACACTGCTGGAATCATCATGGGGCAACAATTACCTTCAGCTTGCCATGGTGGTCGGTGTGTGAGGAGAGAAGCTCCTCTGTGCACTGCACATCRTTGGGAAGTTCAGTCTCTGCTAAGTCTGTTCCAAAGGTCTGTAGCATCTGTGCTGTTGTTTTTACTGTCATTGCAAAGTTTTCAATAGCCTGGAAAAGCAAGAGCATAAAGTCACGTATCAGCTTTGGCTCTCTAACAGCGCTATGTCCTTCAGGCACACTGTGCTACAAGTATTACATGCCTTCAAAGCTGGTCACATCGCCTTTTTTTGGGTGGATGTGCTAAAAGTTACAAACTAAATCATGTGTCACAAATGACCTTTCCACAGGTCCACAAGTACTGTCACCTCTGTGAGCTAAGGGGGAACTCCCAAAGCTCAGCAGACATAATGAAACCACAGAGGACATCAGCTTCAAAGCCAGGCCTGAAACTTCTGATCCTCTGCCCATGCTTGCTGGGAAATTCTGCTGCATTTAAAATTATAATTAAGGCTTTATTTAAGCYGAGAACACTCCTAAAATATATAGGGCAAAGCCTTTTTACATTTATATTTATAGCGCCATTGTTCATGCAGCAATAATCTGTCTTTTTTCTGACTTCTGAAAATGTGCATCTCCTTCTTGCCTATCAGTACCAGCTGCATTCTAGTCAATTCCTCCCATCTGTCCATGTTCGTACACAAATATGAGAACAAGTAACTACAAATACAGTTAAAATGCATAAATTCACTGGAACATTGCTTTTTCTTCATCACTTGGGTGCACCAACACAAAACTTGTCAGAAATCTGTGGTTTTAATGAGGAATAGGGAAGTGAGGAAGGCTAAAAAAAAACAATGCCATCTTCTCAGAGCAGAAAGTAATGTTCACACCTATGACAYGTGATTAAAAACTTTATATCTAGTAGCAAGCAACTGCGTGGGGTGTTTTTTCATGATCATGCCCGAATTTGGGGGTGACTGTGTTGTTCTGTATAGTTCTTTATTCTTTGCACTTTTTGATCCAACCCCCACAATGGTTTGAGTCTGTTAACAGGCAGGGATGCTCTTATACCAATCAAACACGGTGCAGTTGTTGCAAGAACAAGCCCAGCACTCACAGTTCGGTGATGGATCCACTGGCTGTGGCCGTACTCCAGGGTTCCTCCCAGCTCCCGCGTCAGCTGACTTTTGTCAATGTAGCCATGCAGATCAGAGACAGAATTTAACATGATGATCTGAAATGAATCCAAACACACTGGGCTGAGAGAAATAACGAGCCTTGCAATCRTTGTCCCCAGGATCTGGGTTTGCCTTAACATGTATGAACACTGCAGTTCCACCACAGGCCGTCAGTTGTCATTTTGTATTTGCTCATGCCATGGCCACAGTTTATTTYCTCCAGATTTTGCCTTCTCAATGTGTACATGGACATTCTTGAACTAACCTTAGCCTGACATCATCTTAATCCTTGCTGGGCTGAGTCATTTTGCATGTGCATCAGGAGCAAAAGTGTGATACTGRTAATGTTCACACAAACTTACAGCAAATAATTTATTCTCTAGATAACCACTATTTACAGAGAAATGACACAGGCAAGTTAAACAGCTTCCTCAACACCAACCACTTGAACCAGAGAAGGAAGTGCTGAAATTAAACCATTGAGAAAATTATTTTTCTTATAGTTTTATAATTTTTTTTGGCAATGTATGTTCACGGAGTTCACTGGCATTATTCCATTTAAAGTCATGATGAAAGAGAGAGACAAACCTAGATCCATTTTCTCACTTGAGTCTCCTTACCACTAGACCTGCTTGAAGAAAACCAAACAAGATTTGAGTTCAGCCTCAGATAAGCAGCATTACCTTTTGGCAACCACTGTAAATTAGTCAACACAAATGGTTACACAAACAGCACAGATTTATTCTTGTTCCRACAGCTAGAAGATATRCCATGATTTCAGCAACAGAAGAACAAAATGTTGTGCACAAATGGCTRAGAATTTAAAATAAATAAATGTCAGAAATATGTCAAATGTGTTACTTGACTGTTTAAAGAAARGTTAAGTGGCTCTGCATGTCAGCAGGGTCCAATGGAGCATGGTAACTACACTGKCAAACACTATGGACAATGAGATGAGTGCAGATGTATGGAGAAGATGCATATTTTAGGCTTATAGTCCTYTAAGAAAACCCTCAAGAACAAACAAAAATAGATTTTTAGCCAATCTTTGTTACAGAATCTTTCTAGAATAATTCAGGTTGCCAGGAACCTCAGATCTCTAGTCCAACTTTTTTCTTAAAGCTGGGTCAGCTGTGAGATCAAGCCAAGTTGCTCAGGGCTTTATCCACCTGAGACTTAAAAACATCCAAGGCTTGTGATTGTACAATCTCCTTGGGCAGTCTGGTCTGCTGCCTGACTGTCTTTGTGGTGAAAATTTTTTCTTTATATCAAGTCAGGATTGTTTCACTTTATGCCAGTTATTTCTTGTCCTACCATCACGCACAATCCGGCTGTGAGCTCTCAGTAACCTGGCTGGAGGGATTGGAAATATGCTGCTACATCCTATTAAACCTCCCAAGCCACCCCCCTGTTCAGGTTAGATAAGCCCAGTTCCCTCAGCATCTTCTTACAGAACACATGATCCAAGCCCTGACCTTCTTCTTGGCTCTCTGCTGACCTCAYTCCAGGTTAGTATTTTTCTTGTACTGGGGGAACCAAAACTGAACAGGGTATTCGCAATGTGATTTCATTAGAGCCATGTAAAGGGGAATAAGTGCTTGTCTCAATCTGTTGGCTCTGCTCCTGTTCATCCTGCTGCTGTTAATGCTGTTTGATGATGGCTTCCTTTGCTGCCGGGGAACATTCTGCCTCATGTACAGCTTGCTGTTGATCAAGTTCCCAGGTCCTTTTGTGCAGAGATGATCCCCACATAGTCAGGCTACAATGTGAATTCTCAAGTAGGCCCTCATTCTATTTTTTTTCACTTCTAGCAGTTAATCTTCTCCTTGACCCCTCTCTTTAAACACAACAACCCGGAGATCTTGTTGGTGAAGAAACTGAGGCAAARAAAGCTGAGTATCTCAGCCACAGTTAAAGGAAAAACTGTTGTCTAAATGTGTTATGAAACACTGTTCTGCTACGATCAAAGCCACAAAACTCAAAAAGCTGCTTCATCTTGAAAAGGCCTCAGACTGGAACATGAAGTCTATGCACTAATTSTGCATTGGAAGTTACATTTGAAAAAGTAAGTCTTAACTGCTTTGTAGCTCTTCCCCATCAGAGACAGTGCTGACAAGTTGGAAATCTTCTGRTACTTCAAACCTCACTGAAACTACAGAGGAACACTGTCAAGGAGTTTTCTTTTAGGAAGAATTTCATGTTTGTTTTAACCTGGTAGGCTCAGCATGAGCCACAAAGCAAACCTATTAATATTGCCAGCTATGGTGTTACCCCACAGGGCAGAGTCTTCACCACGCAGGCATTTCTGCAGGAAAAAGCCTATGAGCAATCGAGCATCTATCTAAGAAACCAATCTGARGGAGCATTAGCATCTGCCATGCTGCTTGCCAGATGGAAGACAGCCACAGTCAGTCTGCTGGAGAGTGCAGGGGAGCAGCAGTTTGGAAGAGAAGGGCATGAGTTGGTCCATGTGGAACATGGAGCTCTGARGGGGCTGTTTCTTGGTGGGTTAGGCCATCAAAAAGTCACAGCCTACAAAGCTCAAGGAAGTKCCTGCTATGGACAGATTGTTCAGCCTTTTAGGTATGCTCTGAAGATGCTTTAATTCATTTCCTGTGATGGAAGGTTCCTTGGGTATATCTCTGGACTCAAGAGACCTCTGTACCCAAGGAACCCTGCATGCTCCTTTTGAATTCACAGATTTTAATCTCAGATGAACCTGCTGTGTCTCCTATATTTCTTTATTTGACCCTGGTTAATGATATTGAATCTAATCATTATCCCGACAGAGATTTACCTTAGGAGGTTTTAYTACCCACATTTGTATGTAAATGTGATATAAATCCTGCATTTCCTTTTTKTGTCTGGTTGGTTATTTCAGCCTTTATTTCCAGCTCCTGTTTGATCTTCTGGCTTCCACTCATTCCAGTGTTGATTTAACCCAGTAAATCTATTTTACTGAACATATTTACAGTCTGATAGCTCACTATTAAACAACTATTAATATTAATATTATACTATTAAACAAATATTTCCTTAACAAATGCACACAATGTTCTTGGARCCCCTTTTGAATGCTCATGTCTTGTTCCTGACTCACAGCTGTGAGAGGAAATGCCACCCATCCATGGCCCAGTTATGACATGAATGTTGTCATAGTGCCAAACTCAACACAAACACACAACCTGGAAACAACTTAAAAGATCATGGTGATATTGAAGGTAGGTACTGATTCCTTGAGTAAGGACATCTGCAATGGGATAAGAACTCTCTGGTCCTGCTCTTATGCTTGGCATTTAAGATGCTGTTTTCAAGAACATCGTTCTCAGTAATTTCCCTGCTCTGACCCTKGGGTACACAAGGGCATGCCCAGATGGTATTTTTAGGAGGGGTTGCAACACAGGACAAAAACCCCTATGGAGAGCATGAGAGATCCCAGGAACTTACAAGACCTGTAGTAAACCCTGAGAAATTTAGAATAACATCAGGCATATGTGGGCAGCCTGTATATAAATCTGACAGGCTGCCTACAGATATCTGGGCAGGAGGCAGGCAGATACAGCAAGCATGTCATGCTCTTAGTTTTTGTAAGGCTGCTCTCTAAGAGCTCTGTGGACATACCCAGGACAGCTCAAAATATCCAAGATGGCCTCAAACTAAACTGATATCTTGATTTTCCTGCCTGTAAGAAAGGTAAGTTACCATTTCATACTTAATGCAGTGGTTGACTCCTCCCTAGAATTAACCTCCCTTCCAAGTTTGATCCCTTCCAAGTTTTGAAATGCAACTCTGATGTCAAATAAATTGCTAGAAGTATAGGAAATGCTGARTTGCTGGAAAATGCTAGTCCTTGATGAAGTTGTGCCTTGCTGGGCTGCAGTCACTGGTACAAGGGTTGCTATAGTAACARATCGTGGCATATTAAACATAGGTACATCCATTTTTACAGTACTATAAAATACTTCGGTTTGTATCCAAACATAATTCTTTTAATCAATTTTGCATTTTGCCAAAAAGCCACCCTTACCAAATGACAATAATTGTTACAATTTAACCACAGTAACCAAATGCATATTCATGGTTCCTTTTCTGTATGCACTGTAACAAACAGGCTGCTGTCTCTCACTTCAGGAGAAGCAGGAAGTGTTTTAAACACCTGAACTTCAAACTTGAGTATTGACAAAGCTAGAATTTGTTGGAGGACAGCTATAAGTATTGGGCAAAACAATGTAAACCCACAAGCAAAATCCAAAACAGTAATTTGAAATTCCTCCAGTAAAATCACTGTGGAGCACAGCACAAGTCTGATCCAGTATGAAATATCATTATTAATCATAATTCAAGTTTATCTATAAAACTTAAAAACTTTGATGCCACCTGCAAAATGCAGCTACAAACAAATTCTAAAAGACTTCTTACAGAATAATCTCAAACTCTTTCAGGGTTGATAACCTTCTTCAAATCAGTCTCATCAACCTACATATGCCAAGTGCATATGAAAGAAGTAAAAAACAAACTCTGAATCTTGAGGGCATGGGAATCATAAAAGACATTTGGAATAACCAATGTTACAGAGATAATCAGCACTCCATGGATAACCCATGAAATAGAGCAGAATTCAGCCCTAGGCTTTCCCTGCTCTGTAATCCTGAATACTTATAATTGTCAGGGATCTACCTCTGCCTACATGAGGGGAACATCTCCACTATCAGTACTCAAAAACTGAGCCACATTTTGTAGCTAGACTGGGCATGGGAACATGTCCACTAAATACTGTGAACCACCCACTGCTAATTAACTCTTGGGCATCACCACACAGACCCAGATGAAAGGCCCCGGTTGTCACTTGCTGCCTTGGGTTATGAGATATTGCTGACAGCCCAGAACTGCAGATATGGAGATAAAGAAAATGCATGGACAAAAAGCTGCATGCTTACCGGTACCTTCATTTTAAAGTCATCTCGATAGAGTTTAATGCCAATGTCAGCGATTGCCCTTTGGATAAAGCGGGAGGGTCTCAGGACAAACACCAGCTGYAGGTTTCCTGGAAATGCTCCCTGCAAGAAATACAGAATTCTTAGAAGGCACACTTCTACTTACAAAGGAATTTTCAGCCAAGTGTTTTCTCACCAGGGCAAAGCAAGCAGGATTTACTGAATCTTGCTCAGTCCAGCTGCTCAYTGTACCAACATGTGCTTGTGGTCACTATCTCCAAAGCAAGACTAGCCCATGGATTTCACTGCGTACCCACACATTTTTTTCAGATTTATCACAGAGCTCCAAAGTTCCTGAGAAGTGCCTCCCTCCCCCAGATCTGAACCCCACCAAGCCCCATTTGTACCACCACACCAGAGGTTTTCCCATTTTTGAGGCTGTGGCCACTAGAGGGGCAAAGCTGGCTGCCCATGTTGGATGTGGTGAAGGAAGCTGGTGGCACAGATGGATTCCCCAGGCTGACCTATYTTTTCACTCTGCAAAGGGTTTTGAATCTTTTTAACCTCACATATTTTTACACACAGGCACTCAACACACTCATCAGACAYGGCCCTGCCTGCAACACTCAGCCTACATCTCACACCCCTCCGAGCTCACCAAGCACAAAAAAAGAACAATTTCTGGAAGAGAGCAGCAAAAAAGCCTGAGCATGAAAAGCATTTCTGTCTACATACCTTGAAAGAACTTAAGGCTGCCTTTGTCACCCCCCCATCCTACACCTCTGTGTCTAAGTGCTTGCTCCTCACACAGTAAATGTTCCTAATAACATTTGTAYTAAAACAGCTGCTTTTCTTAGCACTGAAAATCAGTGCCCAGCTCTGACTTTTGCAAATGAGATATAATAAGCTATTAAGAGTTTCTGACAGAGATCATTTACTACCATGCAAACACAMATCCCTTGGGATCTATTTCTTTCATAAGCAGGCCACGTCATCCCTCCTTAGGGTACAGAAGGGGTACCTCTTATACTCCTTTAGGAATCAACTTCAAATTAGTACAGTTTATTGCAGTCAACCCAGGAAATAAGGAATTTTTGCWAATTCAGCAGTAAACAAGACTGTGTAATTTGTTTCTGCAGCTTCCTCCCTCTCTTATTTAACACTCACAAGCTGCAGGGCAGGGAGAATCTGCATCCACAGCCAGAAAATGGGAGCTTAAAATGAACGCAGGAGGCTGCATTGTGTGCTGAAGGTTCAGCAGATAATTTTAATTTCTAGAAGATAAATAACAAAAGCAAGCACTTACTGCTATTCGTGTCAGGGATGCCTTGACTGCGCTCCATTTGTCCCGTCGTCTGTCTATGATGATGATGAATCCGATGCTGGCAGCCTCCAGACTGCAAAACAGATGAAATAGGTGTGCTGGGTTACAGGGAGAGACTCCCGGTGCAAGGCAGAGAACTGCAGCAAAACACAGCCTCCGTCACATCACGCTCAGAGCCCATTATGAAAACACAACGTACAGTGGAAAGAATGAATATTTGGCAGAAATGCACAAGAAAAGGAAAGCCAGCAAATTTTCTCTTCCCAGCATAAGGCTAGAAGCTTACACAGAACATGAATATTTTATCTGCTGAGTCTCTCAGCTGCYGTGCTACTCTGCTGCCAGTCTAGGTGACATGGATAGTTCAGGATCACAAATTACACTGTGCTCTTTTGAAGACAAAAACCCCTCAATTTTTTTTTTTCTCTGCAAGGTAATTTAAGCTATAAGACACCCCCCTGCAATCTTCATTCACCAAGTATGCTGACACCTGACAGGGGCACTGAGCTCCAGGGCATCAGTGTCCCCTGACTTGTGTACACAAAGCCTCAGGAATTCTGGTGGGCAAAGCAGAAATTGAAGAGTTCTGTTTTGCCAATCACAAACTTGTTCTGGGGCTGCAAGTCACYCAAAACTATCCTTTTAACATATTGGTTAGAATAACAATTCCTGCTCCTTTTCAAGAAGGATCTAGGAGGCACTGGTTTGGTGTTCCATTCCACCTATGTAGACCTCATAAACACCCCATCCTCTCTTTTCCTCTCAAAAAACCCACTGTGGATTGCAAGGTTTCAGTGGGACTGCTCTACTCTCTGCCTTTCAAGAGCACTCAGTGTTGGAGAAGCTAAGAAGTACACACTGAGAAGTRTCCAGAAACTTCATTAGAGCAGGATAGCTCAGTCATCTCGGGATAAACCAGAGGCAGACAGCAAGAGCATAAATGTCATAATCAAAGGACATACTGCAATCAAACATCTCATCACAGACTAAGAAAAATAAATTGCTTAAAGTACCTCCTTGATCCCTATTCCACTGTCCATAAAAGGACCAACCCAGGAAMAGTTTCCATCAGTCATTTTGTACAAACCCACGTCAATAATCTGCAGAAGACCATCAACACATTAATAATTCTGAATTCTTCTTGCAGCTCTGCAGAATCAAAAACTAAAAGCCAAAGTGTTGTGCAAAACTGGGACACCATGCGAATGTTCCTAATAGTTCATATTGTAACAGGAAAACTCACTGTATTTCCCAATTCAATATTTTTAGCATTCCTCTCAGGATTACAAAATTCAATAACAATACATGACCTTTCCTCTTTAGTAGTGCAACATGCACCTCTCTGCAGAGGATAGAAAATGTGTTTGCAGCAGTGCCTCTCAAGCACAGGGAAGAGAATTCATCTGTTTTACCTTCTATAAATACACAATACACAAATGTATACATATCCTTCAGTAGTTTTAGATATACACAAACACATAGATATCCTTCAGTAGCTCAACAAATATTCCACAGAATAAAATTCCTTGATAAATAYCCAGATAAAGCCAACAAAGATCTTSTGTGTGTTGCAGATTTTTACAAAAAGGGTGAGAAACTAAACATGAAAGTCTCAACCTGGGGTCTTCATGTTCAAATTATGTTCAGGATAGTATCAGTTGTTGTCACTGAGATAAGCCAATGGTWTTTGTAGCTTTCTGGTCTGGGACTTGTTTTTTTTTATTTTGTTTTGCTTGCTTGTGGGGTTTGTTTGGTTGCTGTTGTTGTGGGGGGGGGTTTTGTGGATTTTTCTTTTCTTTTTAGCTAGATAGGACTGACTGAGGTCTTAAATTTAGCCAGGGAAACAGTGAGACTGTCAGCAAGTGATCCAATTTCCATCAGCATGCTGAAAGGCCATACCAAGGTCTGAATGTCATTTGGCACTCAGGGATGGATRCAGGCAAACAGCCATGGGAAGAGGCCTGGCCACGTTGGCAGCAGCAGCACAAGTGGATGTGCAGCTGAGAACCCCCACTCGAGTGTGTATCCTSAGAAAGTTTGTTTAAAAACAAACACACATACACAGATATATTCTATCAATGTTTTCTCAGTGTCAGGACTGTAATAYCTCTACTCTCATTGTGAAAATGCATTGGGGTTTCTCCAGCTCTCTGAAAAGAGGGATTTGAAGACAGTCCTGAAGAGCAGATAAACATCAGGCTTACCTCCAAAATAAATTCTGGTACATTTGCCTAGATCTACAGATGTCTGGCAGAGAGGTTCCCTTTCCCTGAATGAAATAGCTGCCATCAGCAGAACTGTTCCATCCTCAGCTCTATATTCAGTAGCCCTTGGAAATTGAATTGAGGAGGTCAAGAGATGTTGAATTTCCTGACCACTTTTGGAAGGAGAGAAGGGCACTAGTTTATCAAACTAGTCAATCCAAGTCAAGTTAAAGAGAAAGGAATTCTGGCCATGGAACAAAGCAAGTATAAAAGGGCTTTCTGGAGCTATCTAGTGTAARAGTGCATGCACAGAGGTATGCACATGCATACACCGTGTTACTGAGTGTTTGTGAATGTGTTTGCATGCAGACCCCTTTGGTGGAGCACTCGCATAAGCAGGTGTTGAACCAGAGGGAAAATTAATCAGGTTGCAAAAGTCTCACTGCGCTGATCTTCAATCCTGTCATATCTTTTGTTATATGAGCACATTAAGACCAATCATTTCAGAGAAACTTAGAAAATTACTAACACTAAATGATGTTATCTGCATTCACAGAGCTTATCTCCACAACTAGCATGAACCTTACTGTACAGGATATGCAAAATCACATACTAGAAAAGACAGATATTCTCTCCACATTTGCCTGGAAAATGATGCTGATTCCTCTGGTTCACTGAGCTCTGGAAAAGGAAGTGTTTTCTATTGATAAGCAGGATGAGCTGTGTTTCAAACTATACTCCATCTCACCTGATTCATGGGCATAACCTTTGTAACTCCAGAAGAGTTAGAGACTCTTCTCTGTTCTCAGTCACTTTCATGTGGATGTGGATACATCCACATCTTTCTTGAGAATTAAAGTAAAAGGTGGACTACTAGCACTGAAATTACTCACACATATCTCATCATTTGTAAAGTAGGTGTATCAAAGCTCTCCTCATTTACAAAGTTTTGAAACTCAATTCAGCATTCTTTGCACATGGCTCTGGGATTCTTCAGAAGAGAAAACACAGAACTGAAACTGAATCAAAGCAAAGGTCTATCTAGCTCAACACCCTGACTACAGCTGGTAGACAGTGGCTACTGAGAAAAGGCAGCAGGAAAAAGAGAAGGACAGTACTTCTCTTGGTATATTCTTCCAAGTCCCAGCATTAAGGAATAAATTAATTTCTTCAGCCTGAGTGTGCATCTGGGCCATTGTGTCCAGCTGCCATTGATGGAGCAATCCTTCATGAATTTGGCTAATTTCTTTTGAACCCGTCTGTGCTTTTGGGCTTCACACAAGCTGAAGTAGCTCAAAGAATTTCTGACTATCATGTTGACAATGAAATATGCTGGTTCCCCAACATGGGACAACATTACTGGGAAACATCTCTCTGCACACCAAACACARAGAACTGAAAAGCTAGTTTTGTGGTTTTCTCAGCCACTGTTGCTGTTTTATATACCCTGAAGCTGATTGCCCTCCCAGGCCTGAAGCGAGTGAAGAAATACTCAAAACAGAGTTTCTCCTGGCAGAACAAAAGTCCCACAGAGCAGAGTGAAACAATGAAGCTGTTAAATYCACAGTATGCGGTTTCTCTCAGCTTGCTTTGGCAACTCTTTGGCAACAACTTTGGCAAATATGTGGAATACATGTAGGTGGAGGTATAAAACTCCTCATTCAAACTTGAAGGAGGCACGTTTTCCTATGTGACCCTCTGAGCACCTTTTTACAGAAGACCACAGGAAATAATAAATCATTGCTGTGCTTCTCACTAGCACAAACAGCCATGGTCTAGAGACGGGATCAGGGGACTGAAAAAATATTAARCTCTCTAAGATAAACAAAAACGTAATTCAGCAGTCATGCCTTAGCACTTTTCCTCAGAGCAGGGAAAGTCAGTTTGTTTCACTATCCTTATAAAGCTGCAGGCAAAAATCAAGGAAAACATCACAGATGTAGAGCCATCTCCAAAGAAATGAAGTATCAGACAGCCCATGGTGCTTGCCAAAATCCTGTCAATGAAACACCTCCCTTGCTTTCTCAGCAAAGGGAAAGCTGCATAGAAAGAGCAGTCAGAACAGGCAGTCATGGGGCCTAGGTAAATTTGGCTCCTTCCAGAAGCAAGAACAAGCTCTTCCCTTGTTATACCCAGACACCCTGAGACTCTTCACAAACAACCCCTCTTAGCTCCCTTTGCTGCTGCTCTTCAGATCTGCTCTGATTCAGTTCTACCTGCCCTGTGTGAAGCTTTCTGTCCATGCAAATGACAGAAATTGTTCTTAGGGCCTCCAGTACATAGGGAAGTTTCATAATGGCTGGAGAGATGCAAAGGTACTAGAGGTATGTCCTGGTAGCACCACCAAAATCAGCGAGCCGCTGGGGAAGCAAAACTCTCTAGGAAATCAACAGACATTTGTGCTTAGCCTCACCTGGGAATGCTGGTTAGATAAGTGACCACGTTCAGAAAATCATCATCAGGTATCTCACTGAATCCTGCAAACTCTGGAAAGGTTATAATGGGTGCCCCATCCTTCCCTCTTCCTCCTGCAAAAGACAAGTTGTAAATTTTAGAGGGTGATTTTATGCCTTTGGACAGACTGGTCAGTATTCAAGTGGGAAACACTGGCACATTTCTCCTTGTACAGCACCAACATACAGTAATCATCATCTGATATAATTCACTGTAGTTTCATTACCTCAGTTTACTTCAGCTGAGATTCTAGCCTTTGAGATTCTCAGCTTTTTAAWTCATCTTCTGCACAATTCTGATTAAGTGCTTTTTTGTTATTSTTTGTTTCCCATTTCCAAATAATGTATTGTTATAATATTACAATATTTCCTTATGTATAGATACAGCAGTTTCCAGTTCCTTCCAGACAACAAAAGAAATGAAGTAACAGAGCATACAAGCTTTGAATACACACACATAGCCCATGRCACAAGCCTGGGACCAATCCATTCTTAGGTCTTGAAAAAAAATGCTCWAAGTGCATGGAAGAATTTTGTTCATCTTGATTATTTGCATCCAGCCTCTATTGAACAGGACAGAAGGTCGTAAGCAACAAGGTTAAGAAGAGTCCCCTCCTGAGGGATTCCTTGATCCAAATTCAGGTAGAGCTACAGGAAGAACGGAGCCAAGTCCCTGGGAACCAAGCAGCCTTTACAGCTCTCTCTGACAATGCCAGCTCTCAGAGCTGCTGGAGTCCACAGCACAAACCTTGTTTACTTGCAGCACCAATCCTAACTTGGTTCCACTAATAAATCTGGGCATTGCTCCAACCACACAGAAGTTGTGAGGGGTTTTCTCACCAGCTTGGACTCAGAGCTGAGAGCAGATTGAGGAAGCAGCAGCACATAAAGGAACACAATGAAACAAAGCTTTTGTTACAGGTACCTTATTGCTCAGTTCTTAAATAGGGCATTAAGAACATGCTTTTCCCCGAGTATTTCTACTCTCACTATAATCTTTATGTAAACCCATTTTTTGCACCAGGCTCGGGAATTCACCCAATAATGAATGTAGTCCTGCTGTACACACATTTTTCCCAGTTATTTATCACACATGGAGGACTCTTGCCCAAGGAATAGCCATATTCTGGGCTTCTTTTTAGTAAAGGGAAGTTGTGAGAAGGAGAGAGTATTTACCTTCCTCAAGGAAAATATCCAAAAAATTATCCCATTAGGAGCATGGGAGTGAGGAAAAAAAATGAGTTCTTATTCCTTGAAAGCACCCTCTAAAACCCCATAAATAAACCCTGTTTTCAGGCTGCTCCCATAGACCATCACCTTTCCCTGTTGAYAACCACAACTGATGCCACAAACCAGCTTCTCCTGCTCCCGTTCTGGTGGTCACTGCAAGGAGATGCTCCAGTAATTCCTGGCTATTTCTGTGTAGAGTGGACWGTCCCTTGCTAGTCCTGATGCTGCCTCTGCCCAATCCTCCCATCCTTGGTGGGATTATTTAAGGTCCCTTCTGCACTGTGTAGCCATGGGGAGCTGGAATGCTCAGGAACACAATGCACAAGGTCAGATTCAGAGCTCTAGARAATAGGAATTTTGAACAAAGAAACCCTTCTGCTTTTTGACATCTGGWGACATGGAATCGGCACACTACCTTTAGCCCCTATTTTCCTTTCTGAAGATTGATTGTTGCTTTGATTACATCTAAAAATGACTCATTTGTGTTAGATCATTCAGTAAACTCACTTTGCTAGAGAGAAAACAGGCCTAGAGAGACTCAAAAGTCTCTCAGCCAAGAGGCAAAGCAAGGAAGCCATCACTCACACTGCACTGAATTGGATTTCAAATGCTGAGCAGAGCCATGGCCTCCACATCGACCTCCCCAGTGGCCTTGGGGTGATGCCAAATGCTGATGCATGGCAGCTGGATCTCCAGCTGCACTGTCTGCAGTCAGCACTGATGGACAATATGCTGTCATGCAAATTTAGTCACACTTTGCCCAGAYTGCTGCACTCTAGATCAGGAACTCCAACCAGCAGGTACCCAGTTAGGCTGGTTTGCTACAGATTCTCAGTGACATCTCCTGGACACAAACAGTAACAGCCAGGAAAATTTAACAGCAAATTTGTCTGCTGTCTCTTTGTACAGAGCTCAGTGCATGCCAAGGTATTTCATACCTGGTATCTTGTGAATATTCACATGGTTTCTGGGCACCAAGCTTTACCATTCACATATTTCAAATATGTGAAGATACTTTAAAAGAGATCTTATTTGAGATGTAGTAATCTGGAATATTTTGGTTTAAAGCAGCAATATTTGCCACTGGAGGATAAGACAAATATTCCCCTGGATCTCCTCTTCAAAACCTGATAGTTTAGCTGCAGTTACATTCAAGATTTGTTTAACCACAAGTTTCAAATGGTATTTCTAATGCTCCTGCTGACCAGGATCTCTTTGTATCTCTTTTATTTTATCTTTCTCTTGCATCTCCATTTGCACATGTGCTGTTCTACCCCCGGGCTCTTCCCTGAGCTGGATGAAGCAGGCTGATGATGCACTCTATGTATGTGGGTGTGTATTTTTGTCATGGGATCTTCTCCTATAAAAAGCCATCCAAAGAATGAATGTAAGCAGACCAAACATTGACTCCTTCCTTTCACCACTGGCAGCAAATCTAGGACACTCAGGAGCAGCCTCACGCTGAACATTCAGCTAAGAGACAGCAGCTCCTGCCTCTGACTAAGCCACATGCTGTTAACAGCTCCTGGTCTYCAGCTCATTCTCCACCATGAAGGCAAAAATTCCTGCTGCAACCAAACCAGAATGCTCAGATGGTTCAGCACASCTGTATTTCAGACAGGGAAATAAAAAAGGAAACCTTCAGTTCTTGTCACAGTAGGAAATTAGGGGGAATTTTGAGGGAGTTTGGTACTCAGAAATCGTTAAGTACTACGATGAGAAGAAGGGAGGAATGTCTGAAGTGCTGAGTGACAAGCACAATTATGTTACAAATGGGTTTTTCCTGCCCATATCTGAACTTTGAGTAGTAGTTGAGTTACAAAGGAAAATTATCCATATCCATTTATCCCTATACCTAAAAAGATAACGAGTAGACGCTACAGGATATAAGGGAAGCTCCTTAAATACCAGAGGTGTCTGGAAAACTCTCTCCTCTGTATGAGAAAGCACTTCCATAAATCTAAATGTTAATGCCATTTTTACCCTGACACTAAATCAAGAATTGCTGCAGTATGCAAATTTCTGCAGAATGTGAATTGACAAGCTGCAGCCCTTTAATGCTGGGCCATCAACCTTGTTTTCTAGGGAGCTGCCATAAGATTTATTCTAGTCTTTTAAGTACTTCAGCTGGATACTACTCAGTGTCATGGAAGGGCAGACAGCACAAACTAAAAGCCAATAGGGACAGTTTTCAGTCAGCTGCACAGCCCCATAAGGACTGAGTACATAGAATTTGGCCCTGAGGACTCTCTGCATACCATCCTTCTGCTTGCTGAGATCACGCATAATCCCTATGCTCCTGGGCATCACTTGTGAGAAGAATCCAATTGCCAAATAGAAGAGTTTACAATCCATCCTACGAAAGGTATAATAGGGACAGAACAAGCTCCAGCACTCTACAGAAGGCCAAAAGGAAAAAACAGTCCTCAAGAAAAAAAAAAAAAAAAAAAAAGAAAGACATTTTATCTAGAAAGGGAGGGCAGGAAGAGGGAGATGGAAGTGCTGAAGAGAGTGAGCCACTGAGCACAGCACAGGTGGAGGGGGGTGAAACATTCTGTGCAACTCAACAGTGCCTGTGCAGCAGAGTAAGGAGCTTTGCCAGGAGCAMAGGAGCTCAGAGAGAGGCCAGAGCAATGTGAGCATGAACCGAGGTAATGAGCCCCAAGGGACAGGCAAGCAAAACCTTTAGCTTAGTGCAGTCAGGAGCAAAAAAAACCAATGACACACTGTAAAATAGATATCAGCAGTGTGCCCATGCCTGGCAGCTGTTTCAGTGCTGGCCTCTGTCTATCCACTTGCAGCTCTTCCAGGCTCCATTAGATGCCACCCTGCAGCACTCTGCAAGCAGCACAGCCACCTCCAGCACCTTCTGGCTGCTCCCAGGGCTGGTGCCTGGCCAGGGAATCAGCTCTGGTGGCASTGGCCATTGCAAGCAGCAGCCACAAAAGCTGGAGGTTCAGCTGGCAGCAGGGAAGGTTCAGGGTATCCCACAGCAGAACACAAGGCCCACTCCTGACTCTGTCTTAGGGTACCCAGGCTATCCCACAGCAGCATCCCCTGGCTAGGTCACTGCTCCTCATCACACCCCAGGCTGCTCCATCAGAAGCCGCCAAAGAATTTTGCCTGCAGAGGAAACCCAACCAGATTTTGTCTGCCACCGTCTATGCAGACCTGAGCTCAACMAGCTGGAGCACAACTGATGCAAACAACAGGATTTAGAAGAGCAGAGGGCTGAGCTGCCTGGAAAAACGCAAGATTTACAAGGAAAATATTACAGTCAGCTTGACCTTCTGCCTGGTTTGCCACTCAGAATGAGAATGGCAGCAACTCTTTCCTCCTCTTTCTGGGAACACTCCTTATTTTTGCTCAACATTTAGTCATCACTTGTGGCCCAAAGGCAAAGGGAAAAGAAGAACCTGGGTGACAGGTCAGAAGTCAGAGTGAATGTGGAAGAAAAAGAAATGTGGGAGAGATAGCACACAAGCTCTATCAGGGTAGTACAAGGCATGGTAATGAGACCATCACTCACTCTTATGCCAACCCCCAAATCCCCAGCACACAGAGCAGCATTCATAGCTGCTCCTATTAGACAGACTTTCCAGCAGCCAGTGCAGCCTGGATAGCTGTTGCAGTGAAGATGGGGCCAGAATTTAGCTGTGGAAACAAAACAGCTGAAATATTTGGGGAAGTAATATATGTGGAGAAGAAAAGGTTATGGCAGCTGAGAAAATTTAGTTTTGCTTTGCAGCGCAAAGGGTGTGACTGACAAATGAGGTGTGAGTGCTGAATTCTGAGAGCCCTCACAGCTGAAGCTGCGTGTTGGTATGACTGAAGTAAAAGCAGAAAGTAATCACAACTGCGGGCCAAGTCCCTGAATAAAACAGGGATTTTAGAAAATCTCCCAATCCTCAGTTCTAGCCCACCTATGCTTCCCCATCTAGGCACAAAAAATATCCATGTTTTAGACAATCAGGGGCTACACTGAAGTCCTATTCCACAGCCAGCAGCTCYTCTAACCAGAGATCACCAAATATGCTGACTTCCTTGGGAAATAAAACAAAACAAAACAAACACAAAACACCAGCCCAACAAAGARGCTAYGGTCAGGAGAAGTTCCAAAAGTTARTCTRCAAGTTTCCAGAGCTCACCTCCCCAGCCTGCCACAGACACTAGCTCACCAGYTGGTATTGGAAAGTGTTCTCTCAAATGCTGCTGACACATGCAGGCTTAACTGCCTGGGCCTGCCCACATGCAGAGAGCTCCCTGAGTCATGACAGCCCAGACCTCACTGCAGTTCATCTCCTGGGTCACACAGCCAAAAAGTTTWATGATAACTTGGCTGAAGTTTCACTGCTTTGGCCAGGTCTTGCCTTTTCCATGCTCTGTTGTTTTCCTTTTCCATGTTGATTAAGGGCTGTGAGTGATGAATTTCTCATTAAATCATGCTTCCTGGGTCTCAATTTTTATGAAAGACCCAAACTGTCCTTTTGGCAAGGTCAGGCCAGGTTTTCCAAAAGGCTCAGTTTAAACAGGAAGCAGATGGCCAAATACCCTCCAGRCTTTGCAAATTAAATAAACTGGCTTCTGAGTCAGTTATATTTTCAGATATACTCTCCCATCCACTGAAGTCTGTTAACAGGAGCAGAACACAAAGAAAATGATTCCTTTGCTAATACACTTTGTGACAGTATGTCTAATACAGTCGTGATTTAGTAACACGATCCATTATTGCTGCAAATGGCAGATTGGGCTCTTTGACAGAGTAATTACAGATAAGAACAGGTTGTGAAGCTGCAGATAAAAAGTGGGGGGGAATAGTAGTATTTCTGAGAGCAGATTGGTACTGCAGTTTATTAGACTGTCAGCACGACAGGAACAGTATTTTACTAGTGGTTCTTTATTCTTGAGTAAAAACTGGTGTGTTAGAATAACCAGGTTTTCTGTACTACTCAACTTTGTGATCTAGCTCCCTTAACAGCTACAGAAAACACACAAACAAAGCTGAGCACTTGTGTGTTGTCATAGCTGTAGTTCCATAATTAGGAGTTTGGTTTTCAGGCAAAGGAGAGGCAGTAGTGGTATTAAAACTAGAATTTAAACACAAGAAACAGCATTCCAASCAGATTTCATAAGCTAAGCAGAGCTAAATCAGCACATGGCAAAAGAGATGACCCAAGTAAAATTACGTGATTAAGGACATTGCCACATTACACTGCAACCTTTTCCATGACCTCAGTGGACCAGGGAAGGCTTTGCAGAGATTCCCTGTTCTTGGCACCGACTAAGGTCTTGGTAAGTCTGGTAGGTAGAGGACCAAGACAAACAGGAGGCTGTTAGTGCCTRATACATTCATTATATCTAGACCCTGACACAATCAAACACCAAACTCATTAGACTTGTTATATAATTCCCACCATCTGCTTGGAGACCACAGGACAGTCAGATCCTCTTAAGRAGTCTGCATACAGCAATAGGGGAGAAAAGTGTTTCTAATGACTCATGTCCAGAGAAAACAAAGAGCCTTTGATTCAAACATTTTCCTCTTTCTTTTATGCTTTACTGCAAGGGAACACTGTGGATTCATCACATCTGCCTCAGCTGACAGCTGTTACTAAAAAGGTGGTATTAACCAAAGAAGAACTCATTTATGACAAAGTTTGTGACAGTCAACCACCATTTACTTTCATTAYCACTGGACAAATGGATTTGGGGTCCACAGGACTGAACAGGAGAGTTTGACAGAGCCAGAGTCTGTGGAGTAACACAAACCAGACTCAGTGCTACATCCCCTGAGCTCTGCACGAGCATGGAAGAGGGGACTGGCTGTACTCTGGGGACTGCAGCCTCCAGACTGAAAGAAATATCCCCACGTAGTATAAATCAGAAGTTGTTTGGAGAAACATGATTTATGCCCATGACACTCTACAAGAACACTGGAATTGCCTTTTACTGCCCACGATGGTGACACCAAAGAACAGAAGGGCATTTTTTTCCAGACAGTGGCTAGTGAGCTGTAATGTTTCAATATGGGATAAGTATCAAATTTTCAGCCACCATGTGRGCAAGCACTGAAGCACCAAAATACTTGTGGTTGCTCATATCTAATGAAAAGCAGCAAAGCAGCATGCTTTGAGGAAAAGCTACAGAGCCATCTGGAAAAAAACCTGAAATCAAATGAGGTCATTTATGTGTGAATTACTTCAGTAAGTGAAATGAGGCAGAAGAGTGCCCAGTTTTGTTTTCATTGCATAAAAAAACCCCATCTTTTGCTAAAGGAAAAAGAAAGTTACTAGTGAAAGTTATTAGTTAGAGAACWTTTTTTAAAAGTATAATAACTTCTGGTTTGCACCTAAATCTCTCTTTGCAGGAGGCAATAAAGGGAGAGTAAGGAAGATTCTGGCTGTTTTAGCTRCGAGTCACCAGTGGTTACCAACAGAATAAGACACCGGGACAAAGGAACCTCTAAGGAGGTGATTTTATGTTCCTGATCTTCTTCACATGCTGCCATGGGGATTTGGGAGTGGAGGCACCCAGGTTTCCCAATTTAGCCATAAACTTCAGACTGAAATCAACTTAGAAAATTTGAACTATACTGCTCTGTTTTATATTAGGATACTATTTCTGGACTGTACTGAGGATATTTAGATAAGCCTGAAAACTCTTAACAAGGGATTTGTTATTTATGTAGATGGGGGCATGAAAGACACCTTCTCACTCACCTTTGGTATWTGTTATTAGTAATTCTATGTTGATGAACCAGTTATTTGCTGATTCTTAACAAACAAGCCCCTCAGCCTTGCCTTCTTTGAAGAATTATTTGCCAAGTCTTTAAGCAGCTCACATTTAAATAACCTTATCTAAATACCTTTCTCATAACTCCCAAGATAAAAGAATTAGATAAATGTGAAGAGCTGAATTTGTTAAAATAGCACTGAGAATATAGGCACTGCTGAAATTATGAGTCCGTAAGGAAATAGGAAAATTCTTTTTTTGTGTCTGTCCTTAACATTTTTAGTCCATGTTTAACATTCTAGCTGGAACTGGGAATGGGTTTTTCTTTCTGTTTAGTAAACCACTTTCCATAAGTTGTTCATTACATGCTGTATTCAGCTTTTGTTACTGATCCCAAATATTGCAAAGTAATGGGGTTCAAAAATAGCAATCCTCCACATTTTACTGAGTAGGCAATTGCATATATGGGACTCAATTCTCAACAATTCCTACTCATCCTGCACTGAGCACAACAGTGGGATGAAAATGTTTGAGCAATTTAATGCAGTTACAGACACTGTCCTGCCCAGAGGGTTGTGTTCATTAGGAATTCCAGGAAGGTGGGACCCTGAGATGCTTTACTGCAGATGAGAAGGCAATTGGTCCAACTCTGCCCAGTTAATACCCTCTGCCTTTAGTGAAAACCCTTTAGTTAGTGAATTTAGGAAACTGCCACAAGATGATACCTGGAAGCCTCCAAAATCAAGTTTTAATAATCAGAGCCTCATAAGGAATTCTGTGTAAATTAGATTTGGATTTTTTTGGCAACTTGGCATGTTTTTAAAAATGCAAAGATGCAGCAAGGATTGGGCCTGCTGAGCTGACCATTTTCACAGCCAGGCTGGTGCACTCTTTGCACTCTATATCCAGAGTTCCWCTCCACCAAGAGGGACAGACTGTTCAAGAAGGCCTTCTTACAATCTCAGCATTTTGTGCAGGTTCATGATACTGTACTGTTTCTATGGCGAAGATGATAATGATAATGACGAATGATGAATTCTCTTATTTGTTGAACAGGCAGAAACAGAGACAAAAGGAGTAGCCAAAGCCCATGCAGTCAATAGCAAAGACTGTTTTAAGACCCAGATAAGATTTATAATCTACAGTATCAAAAATAACGTATTAAATAATTTGCCAAGTATTTCAGTATCAGCTCTTTCTTTGGGGAAGGAATTGCGTCACTCTGTGTGATTGCAAACTACAGGCAAACAAAGGAATATGTAATAATCRTATCTTTTAAAGATTAGAACCCTACACTTTAGCCATGAATCATTTCTAAAACAAAGGCAAATGAGGAAGAAGGGGGAGGTCATGAATAGATCCCTGACAGACCAAAATCTTTTCCCATAAACAAGATGCTTGGACATTGTGCAAAGATATGTACAGAAAGTTTTGTTTAATTTCTTACCCTCTAAACATGTTCCTCACAAAAAATTAACTTGCCTTAAGAAAAACAAGTCCAGAAACTTGGCATTTAATCTGTTCCATACACTGTGAATATCTGACTGCAACAGCACTTTTCATGAGCAATATGAAAATACTATTGCAACTGCTGTACAGAGCTGAAGGGTGACAGACAGAATGACACATTCCAATACRTTTCCAAGAGAATCCTGGAGTGTGATTACCAGCAACTTCTTACCTGACAAGATGGCAAATTGCCTGTGGAGCTGCTCTATTATATCCACTGCTACCAGCGGCCGGATCTCCTGCTGCATGATTTCATCTGTGCAAGGGAAAACAGAAATCTTCAATTAATTCATAAAGCYTCAACGACCATTTTTGCCTCTTTTAACAATCCAGCAAAACAAAGATGACGCTCAAAGGGAAAAAGCCTGACTGGACTATTGGCTGAGATATTATGACTATCATGGTAAATATTATGATACTTACAGAGTCTCTGCTTCAGCCTATTAATTTCATCTATTGCCTTGTGATTTCASAGAGAGTTTTCCATAAACCAGCTCCAGTAGGTTTGCCAGAGCTTGCCACAGGTTTGCTCAAACTGACAGCCTGCTCCTTTCCACTTCAGGTTCCATATTAAGTCACTGCCTTTAGCTTCCCACTACAGCAGCTTTTCAGTCTTTGAAACAGTAAAGTCTATTCCACGTACATGGCCGTGTTCCACCCTGAACTCCCCGATCTCTGCTGGAGGACTTTGTGTAACCAGCCAATCCAGAACAGTTTCCTTTCCTGATGCTTTTTCCGCTACAAGCAAATACATAGTAAAAGGAGGAAATAAGGGGCTCTGAGATTTTCTTCTCACGAAAACAAAGCCTGTTATTTTGAAGTAAACACTGAAAAGTTGAAAAGTAACTTGGCAAGCAGTTGGGCAAAAATTACTTCAACTTTTGTGTGTGCTCTATGGAGTGAAAAGCAATTATAATSTCACATGGAGTTAATTTGACCTCTTTTTGTAGCAGGTGCATGCACACTTCACACCAGTCTAAACCAGCAACATTTACTGAGAAATATCTGCCAACTCAACTAACAGGACCAAGTTTAATGTTAGAATAACACCCATGGCAACTACTATTTCAGCTGCTGTACAGAATAACAACAAGTCCTGGTTTTGTACAGATCACCTCCAAGGTGACAAGAGGTGGAAGGAAGGAAGCCAGGTCCAGATAAACCAAAGACCTAAGTCAGGGCAGGCAGCTGCCCCATTGAAGCACCAAGATCTTCACTGATGTGAATACAGTCCTGGCACTGAAATACTTTGGTGCACCTGCATTTAAACCAACTGTCCAGAAACAGAGAGGAAAGTCAGAGATATTAGAGATCAGCTTCTTTCTCCTGCATCCTACTCTACTGCCCAAAATACCATCTMTGTCTTGCTTTCAGACATCCACTCAGATCCTTTCTGGCACTTGGGATTCTAGGTTTTAAATGACACAATGTCATTTGGAAAGTTTTCTGTTCATTTTCAAACTAATTTCACTAATGCCTTGAAATGAACTAGCTGAAGAGCATGTGTCACAGAGGGTGTCACACAAAGTGAAAAGAAGTTGCACAGATTTTGGCTGATGCACAAAAAAGGCAATAATTCCAAAGAACTGGGGAATAGGGGGTGGAGTCAATGGAACAAAGGTTTCTACAATGGATGACAGAATCACAAGGAGGCTTGACAGAAACAAAAAAGGAACTAGAAAAGGTGCCACCATCTCTCTCCTCTCAGAGACCTGCCCAGCTCTCCAGGGTAACAAACCTGCGAGTACTTTAGTTTGTGTTTGATGTTTGCCAATGTGAAGACATCATTAATATCAACCAGTCTTGAACAAATTCAAAAACAGAAATTTCACCACCTATCCAAMCCCTGTTTATCAGCTTGCTTTAAACACAGCTTGGTTTCTGTTTCTAAGTATCCTTTCTATTTCAAAATATTTTTGTGATGTAAGGATAAGACAAAGCAATAGAAACAAGAACAAATTTGCCATCAAATTTCCTGCCTGGACAAGAAAAAGCAAATGCGATTTGCTGTAAAACACACACTCAGGAGGAGATGTTCARATAAGAAAGATGGTGCAAAACACATTCAGTGACTAGGAATCACACATTCAAAACATCAGTACAGGTCACACACCGACATGCTRGGAAAAGAAATTGCAGCAGAAGAAAGTAGCAGGTGACAGAAAATCTGAGAAAACAAGGGAAGGTGCTTCACAAGCCCAAATGGCAAATCAGATAATGTGGCTGTGGAATGTCACACATGGAATGCTACAGCCAACAGCTCACAAAGTCCCATTTGCATCTTCCTCTAGGACAGTGCTTAAAGGTAGCTACTCTCCAAYATGGATGATTTAGTAACACCATTACAACACAGAACTTGCAGTAGAAGTCCCAGTCCTTGGAAACATAATTACCTACTGCTGCTAGAGGAAGATTTTAATCTTTGGCTCAAAGAAAAGCTTGAAAAGAAATCCTATCAGCAAACCAAAAGACAGTGGTCTGGGTTTGTTTCAAAGTCATGACATTTACCTTGCATCAGTGAGCAYTAATCATTCATATCTTCCACTAGCTTTACCCCAGGAAGGTCTGAAGCCTCTCTGATCTGTACTGCAACCAGAAGCCATAGGAAGTGGTGCTCACCCTCCTGGGCAGAAGCAAGGTACCATCTTTCTGTGGGAATGATATTCCAGCTGAGAAACCCCTTCTTTAGGGTGACATTAGCAGGTATGGAGCTGACAGCTGCAGGTTCATAGACTACTTCAGAAAAACTTATTAATGATGGCATATTTTAACACTATATGGGGTCAAGGGAAAGGTGTTAGAAAGCTGAAAAGCTGCAGGGCCTTGACAACTATCTTGTTTCACTGCATCTTGCTAATATCTACAGAAAAAAACTGGACAACCCCTGGCCACATGAGAACGGTCCTGTCCTCTGATAAAATCTGTATAGGCATGYAGCTCAAGACCATAGCAAAACATACACCAGCCAAGTGCCTGGAACACATTTATTTTGGGAAACTTGACTCTCACATTTCCCATCTTCTGTGAGATTGCTCTCGTGGTGTTCACTTTTTTCTTTTTTTTTTTTTTTAAATTGAAGAGGCAGTTATCCACAGCCTCTAAAATTTAAAAAAGAAAAAAGTCTAATTGTTCAGTTACATGAAACAATGCCAATCCCCTACATAGGTCACCTAAGATGAAMATTTACACATACCATACAGTTCTTYATTTCTTGAATTAATTGAATTTGCCAGGATAATTTAAATATGAATAAGGATGTGATAAAAGAGGGGGAAAATAAAAAAGAGACAAGTCAGTTCATCTACTCTTGGATCTCATCTTAAACTGCTATAAATTCAATTCCTAGGAGAGGCCAGTTCCAACACAGAAGAATTAGGCCTCGAAGTTTTGCTTCCCAAGGTTTTCTACCAAGGGGGAGAAAAAGAAAAGCAATTACTATAGCCATCTGTCTGGCACAGCTTCTCCTCCTTCCCAGCTCTCTAGGGAGGCTTGCTGCAACTGTGCTATCTAATTTTCAAGGGRAAGGCCATCCAGTTATGCTTCATAATTCCTCATTCAAAAATTAAACATGCTTGGGCTTCTCCACACACACACTCACTTATTCTGTGTCTCACCCCAGCTATATGTGCTCCCACARCAGCAGCACCAACAGCAGATGATTAAAATCAACAAAGAAATATCCTCTTGTTCTTTCCTCTCTTCCCTGGGCACATACAAACCAGTTTACATGCTAATGGCAACCAATTGTTCCTAACAGTGCTGGAAAGAGGAGCTGCTGGAGCGAAGGACTGGACTGCACGGAGCAGATTGACACAGCAGTGCCTGTTGCTCCATGAGGGACATCTAAAGGCCACCAGCCACAACAGGACATTGGGGCTTCTTTGTTTTGTGGTGACTGAAAGCTACAATTGGCCTTCTGCTGAGTGCAGGAGAGAATGGCTTCAATCCCCCATCTGAAGTCACTACTTTTGGAATAATGGGTTACTAAYTTCCAGAGCAAAGTTCATTTTTTCTTAATGACAGCCTAATAAGTAATTCACAGGGTAAGGAAGACAGCTGGGAGTGAAAGAAAATCTTTCCTAGAACAGTGGAGTACATCAGGCTACTTCTACTTTGGGCAAGCTCAGTCAAAAATTATGCTCAGTTTTCATAATTGTGGGTCTGGAGAAAAATCAGATTGCTGATGTGATGGAAAAGGGACAGACAGGGTTAAGCATGAGGCCAAATATTTCCTTTTAAGAACACGAAAGGACACCTCACATTATGTGTTTTATGTTTCTTAAAAAGTACCAAAAGGAAACACACAAATCCAGAGTYTGAAAGTGACAGAATTCCTATAGTTCAGAATTTCTCCCAGGTCCTGAGTCTGCTTTGCTTGTCACCAGCAACAGCTAAGTCTAGCAGAGCTAAGTTAGATCCTAATATCCACAAAACTGAAACTTCCCTAATAAAAGCAATTAAAGGCAAAGGTCTAATCTCAGCATTCAAGAAATAAATCCAGGTTTATAGCAGCATGGGACAGCCTCTTGCCTAGTCCCTCAGTAGTAAAAACTTCTTGATAATTTCTGATTTTTGCCAAAGAAAAGTTAATTCATCTTCTTCCCAAAATCTGTCTTTCAAAACAATGCTGGATTGCTAGAACACAAATTCCTGCCCAGAGAATAGAACAAAAGAACATTTCCATAGTGTCATGTTAAAAACCATCATGAATAACAAAACCCACATGTGGCAAACTGCAAAGCTAAAATACACTCACTACAACGTCTGGACACAGACTAATCAAGAGATACAGCAGACTGTACAGCAGACTTCATTCCTTTCTCCCAGAGCTTKCCAGCAGACAATTTCACAGCTGAAACAGTACCTTAGAAAAATTCTAGCCACTGGCTCTGCCCTGAACTATTGCATCCAGCAAAATAATTTCAGAGCCTATTCACGCAATTTCTGAGCTCAAGAGCTGAAGGACTGGTTGCTTGCTCATTGCTGAACAAGGGCCAGTGTGCTCACAAATATTTCCCTGGTTACTGTGAGCCACAGCAGCCACTGCTGCTGCCAGCAGCACTCTGAGTTTGTATCYCTGGGACAAACACTGCTCCCAGCCSACCCCTCTGCCCAAGAGACCTTCCAGCCACCCTACTGCAGCCTTCTCCAAGCTGTCACCAGCAGCTCAGCTCAGATGCCCATTAGAAAAAGCAACAGAAAAACCCTGCAAAGAGCAATGCCTCCCCTCAGCCCCTTCAGACACTCACGAACGTGTGCCCTCCCTGGTGAGGCAGCCTGGCTTCTCTGCAATCCTGCTGTGGCAATGAGCTCACCCGAGGCACAGGGGAGGGATGSAGAGAGGCAGCACTGTGTGGAAGCAATCCTGGATCCAACCAACAGTGCACCAAAGAGCTGACGCTCTCCTGGAGGAGTCTGCACGAATTGCTCAGTAACAGCTTCAAGGCAAACCACAGCAGGGACCTGTGACTCGCACCATGCCCAGGCTTTAACCCTGCCCAAGGTCCGGCTGCCTCTTCCCGCTGGACAGCTCTCCACTCAGGCCCTYGGACACTCTGGAAGCATTCAAACACTAAAGGTAAACCCCAACAAGCAACAAAACAGATTCACTTGCTCAGACTATGGCATGGAAAAGGCTTTCATTAAAATAAGTTTAAATAGTAGA